TGTTAAGAAAGAAGTAGCATTGTATGAGGAAATTGAAATGTTATGTATATTGAGATGTAATGCTTTTTTTTTTTTTTTTTTTTTGAAATTATGAAGCTACACTTTACTTTTTGCTTTGTTTTAAGTTTTTTCCAACTGATTCAGTAATCTTATGAATTTTATTTTTCCTGCCTAATTTACATTGAATTTATTCCATTTCACTTATTATAATTAAATGTTAGTCTAAGGTGAGAAACCACACAGATACAGCATTTGCTTCTGTGGAGCACAAGGCGATTTAATGTAGTACTGTCCTTTGTCGAGGAGTGAGATAATTTATTTGAATACGAGGAGAACCAATATGGAGAAAGAGAGAGATGTTTGTTGCTGCCGACAGGATTCGAACCAAAGAACTCTGTGGTTGCAATTGGTAAGCAGCTTTATATTCAAGGGCCGCCCACATCTGTTTCTACTACAATTATTACGTTAATTTGTCGTTTAACTCATTTTTGTTGAAAATCGAATAATGACCTAGTAAAAATTTCGAAACTCTTAAATTTTGAAGAGCTTTATTTCGAAAGGTATTAGTGTTATGTGTTTAGTATGAACAGTAACTAGTCTACTTTTTTTTTTTGACGTAGATTAGCTAATTGTAAACAAAGCTGAAAACCAAAAGGTAAATATTTTTATCATAAAGGCGTCATCTTTGCTCTGAACATAAACTGGTTTTGACGAGATTTTCTTGATTCTCAAATATGCATAAAGCGGAGCTTGCTACGAAGTAGAATCTTCTGAACCTGTTCCCTGGCTTCGGAGATCTCCTCAATATGAGAAATATAAAGATTGAAAACGAAACTGTTTAAAGGTCAAATATTTGGGAGAAACTGGGAAAACTTTTCTTTGATAGAAATGACGTTTTCAAGACGACTGCTAACGTGGTTGTCGGAGGAACTGGAAAAATTTAATTCCTTATAACAGTACCTCCTCAGATGACTTATCAAAAACTTAAAACTACCCGAATTTTTGTAATTACATTTGTAGTTAATCAATCAAGTATTTTTGGGACCACTTAACTAGACTACAAAAACAGTTGAGGTAAATGAAAATATTGATTTCATGCACAGAAGTTCGACCATTATTGCTGGGTACGATTGTTTTCGCTTGTGCCCGAGAATCTGATTGGTGAAAAATATTTACCCATTAAAAACTCGCCAATCAAGTTCTCGTTTGCAAACGAAAATGGTCCTTTTTTACGCACGGAGAACATGCTCCTCGCAGTAATAGAAACGTTCCCGTGTCAATAAAAGTTGGATAGTAGTGCTAAAGCGCCAATTTCTTTCCATAACTTATAGGATAAGAAGATAGTTGTTTCGTTTCGAAACTCAAATTATTTACATTTTACTTATTTGCGTCTTGTGAATCTTCCTTATATCTTCTGTTTATTATATTAAATCGTTCGACTTTGCTTTCTTAAAAAGAATATAAAAGGGGGGGGGGAAACTACATAACTTGCATTATAGTTAGTTCAGATTTTCGAACCAGGCTATGAGGAATATTTGGTTGAGAATTCTTCTTTAAGAATATCAATCAAGATAAGAAGTCGTGTATATTTAATAAGAAGTTTGCCCTAAAGTTATTGGTTGAAATGCAAAAATATTATGTTTATTTTAAGAAATCAAATAACAAATTTCTTGCATTTGGTGAACTTAAATGTAAAATGATGAAAATTCTTTCAGATCCTAATTTTTTATGATGGTTTGAATTATTTAAAAGTAGGGTGCCAAATGTAATCGCAAATTTTGTGTAACAAAATGATAGTAGAAATGTTTTGGGCATTGAATAATAGTCTGTCAGTTTTTACAACAAATAATACATTAAATAATAAACTCACCCAACGAATATTATAAAAAAAAAAAAAAAAATTATGTTTTTTATATTGTTAAGAATTTTTTTTAATGATTCACTTCGAACTTCTATGTCTGGTAAATAATTAATAATTTAGTAATTGCAATGATTGTATTCAGATAACATCTACATGAAACTATGAAAGTGGCCAAAGCTCTTAGAATAGAGGAAATAGTATTCACCATTTTGTATTTGCTTTTGTAATGAAAGTTAAAAATAAGTGTTTATGGCTTACAACGTTTGAGTCTTAACAATTGGTGAAGTTGTAAAGGTTTGCTTCCAATGCAAGAAAAAGGTTTGAAAATTGGACAGATCAGTTCTGAAGTAAGACTTTACTTGTTTGCAGTTAACGTACAAAAAGAGTACCTATAATGGCAAAAAAGCAATTATTTAGAATAAGTGACTTAATCAAGTTTTGGCAAAAGTAAAAATATAGAATAAGGGACATTTTTGCCAATTCTCCAAAAGTTTTACCTCAAGATTAGCACAACAAAAGTGCAATTTTTGTATCAATCTTTGTATGTTTAAAATGTGAGAAAAAAATAATTTAGAATCAAATTTACGAAACTAAAAAGAACTTAAACTTTGCCTACCACTAGAAAATATTTGTTTTACAAAGTAGAGCAAGTTGGTTCTCTGAGTTAGCAAGCAAGGAATGAAATATTAAAATTAGTTGAAGTTTTTCTTATGAATTTAGATTTCATCAAATGCATCAAACTTGTCTATTTGTTTAACTCGTAGAGTTCAGTGTGGAGTGATATCTGAAACATTTCTTATTTTGTGTAGTTCACATGTGGAGAAATTAATTGTAGAGAGTAACTTCTTTGAGAGAGGTTTCTTTTATATTTTATTTGATGGATTGTTAACACATCATGGACTTTTAAAATACTTAGGACTTTTAAACACACTTAGTTAGTAATTGGACTTTTAAAATACTGGATGCTTAATAATTTGATAATTTAAAAAAAAAAAAATCTTTCATTAATTTTATCTTTAGAAAATAAATTTAATATTACTAAATAATAATAGGATAAATATGAGATGATACGTAAGAATGAGTTGGTTTTTTATTAGAGTTTTTGTATGATTATTGTAGATGTTTTTTTCTGGATAATTAAAATATAAATAATAAATTTTTAGATTTATCAAATTTAAATATCTAGATTTCTTATTTGTTTAAATCTGTGGACTTTAAATTTAAAGACTGAAATTGCTAAACAAAGATGAAAACAGTTGAATTTAGAAATTAAAGATGAGCTTTTTAATCTCTCTATCGAAATTAATTCTGTAGGTGTTCAGCCAATTAGTGTTAAATGATCTACTTTTGCATTTAAAATTCAGGGATGTGATTCTTCCACGGATTTCCGCTTATTTTCAGATTTTTCCATTTTTCCCACTAATTTCTGCGAATTATTATTTTTTTTTTTGCACAAGTTCAAATATTTTATGAGGAATTTAATTGTCCGTGGAGCGAAAGTATTGAAGTCCTCATTCCTCTCTCTGAAGTTTCTCTAAAAATCATTTCCTTGAGATAAAACTGGTTGACCTTTATACAGGAATGAGTTTTTTTGCTTTTGTCTCTCGGATTTCAGCCTTTTTATCAAAAACTCAGATTCTCTAAAAGTTTTTTTTTTTTTATAAAAATAAATATCCCTTTTTTTTTTTTTTTTTTTTTTTTTTTTTTTTTTTTTTTTTTTAAGCTTTAGCCGTTTTAATAAAATAATTATATTATTTACAATTTTCAAAGATTGACAGAAAACTCAAACTACGTCCTTGCTGCTAACCCTTCCGCATTTTTACTTATTTTAGCTATTTCTCTATTTTAGCTTGTAATATCAAGCATCAATTTCTGTATTTATACGTGCTGTGAAAATTAGACATTGGGATTCATATTCACGTGATTTAAAAATTATGCATCGTGATTTGTGTTTTTGCATTATTTACATTCTATATGGAGTTTCATATTCACGTGATTTAAAAGCCTCATATCGGGATTCATATTCTCTCAATTTAAAATCATGCATGTAATTCATATTCATATATTCATAAAATTTTAAAATTAATCTTCGGGATTTATAATCACCAAGTTTAAAAATCACACTTTTTTTGTCAAATTTTTGGATATATATGTATACACAAATAAAAATAATTATGATAATTCACTCATTCTTGGATTTCCTCTTTTTTACTTTCTGACTACTCTCATCCCTGAAAATTACGCTATTTAAAGGTACATTAAGAATATTTTCATTTTATATTTTAGGAAAAATTAGAAATATAATTTTTTTCTGGATGAAATTATTTTGAGAAAAACTTTATTACTTGATTAAAGATAATATTGATAAATTTTTTTCAAAAAGTTTGATAAAAAAGATTATATGAAAATAACGTCAAAGGGTTGAAATCTTGAATAAACACTAAATTGTTGCTTATCAGTCTGACTAAATTATTGGGAACACATTTTTCAGATTGCAGCTTCTTTATATTTGGATAATTACCTCCAAATTTGCTTGAAAAATGTATGTTTATTCAGGAAAAATTCAGTTTTATGTTGTCTTTACTCTTTACAGAATATATCTTTTTATAAATTGAGAGTTTAAGAATACTGATGTACTTTTGTAATATTTTCACATTTTTGTTTTTTTTAATTTATATGATTATTTTTGTTACCTTGAATTCTTAATCTTATGAGTTTATTCAGAATGCCATTTAACACTGCATTCATTTCAATGTAATTCAAATTTCTGTGCTTGACTTTGTAACCTAGTTTAAGAGTTCAGTGGAGTAAGATTCTAAGTTGCATTTTAATAAATGTCAGTAAATTAGCTTTAAAGTTACCTTGGCAATAATAAGAAATAAAAATTATATTTTCCTTTTTTTTTAAAAGCTTCCCAGTTGGCAAAATATATAATACTCAGTTTAACTGTTAATTTCATAGCAGTCACAATCTATGTTCGACTCAGATTTAGATTCCAGCGGTAGCTAGTTGATTCAAATTCTGCTCTTAGCTTGCACTGGCCACAGTGTTGTTGTAAAATATTAATTTACTGTATATTTATACTCTTTGCCTGTAAATATTATTTTAGTAAAATATTATATTGAAATACATGTTTCAGTTGGTGCTGGTTCTTCTGGTGCTGTTATTGCTAATAGATTATCAGAGGATCCAAATGTGAAAGTATTATTATTAGAAGCAGGTGGTTCGGATAACCAAATAACGGACGTTCCTTTAGTGGCTGCAAGTTTACAACAAACACCTGTAGATTGGGCATATCAAACAGAACCTCAAGAAGTAGCATGTTTGGGCCTTAAAGGCAGAGTATGAAAATTCTTTCTGAAGTTTATTTTTATAAGATTTGTTTATGTTTTGTCTTAATTTATATTATCTTTCCAATAGCGCAGTAGATGGCCTCGAGGTAGAGTTCTTGGCGGTTCGAGTACTTTAAATTATATGCTGTATGTTAGAGGGAACAAGAAAGATTATGACAGGTGGGAAGCCTTGGGTAATAAGGGATGGTCTTGGAATAATGTTTATCCTTATTTCTTGAAATCTGAAGATAATAGAGATCCACCTTTAGTTGATTCAGGTTTGAAAACTTTCATATAACATTTGATTATGAATAATTAGGATAATATCCAATTGTATTTTTGATTTATTAGCACTGTTTTTATGACATTTTATCTGTTTAAGAATATATCCAACTCTGAATATTAAATACAAGTATTTTAAAATAAATTTGAAATTTTAATCATTTTATAAAATGATTTTGTCTGATATTTTAATTTTAAGATAGAATCCGTCAAAAAACGAAGACCGTTTAAAGCAGTTCAATTTATAAGTTTTATTAATAAATAATTTATAATATCTGTAAGCCCTTATGTATTGCAAGCTGATTTTTAAAAGAAAGTAAAATTGAATGTACAAATAAAAATATTTAAAATTGTTTTTTGGTAAAGAGAAAAATTATGGAGGTTACAAAAAAATTAAGGAAACTTAAGTAAAGAAAAAAAAAACTCTGATAGCTTCAGAGGATTTGGTAATTGTTGATGAGAATGTTTGATTAAGAGAAAGCTGGTGTGTATTCAAAATTCCTTGCATTCTATTGTTGACTTGAAGAACTAAAAGCTGTTATTTTTAGGACTGAACAAATTGTTAGAAAGTATTGTTTCTTGCAAGGAATTTCTGTACATGCTGTCTCAGAATCAAAAATTATTGACACTTATAGGGTAAACTAACCAGTGAAGGAACACTTAAGCTTCGCTTGCCTTTTGAAAAATCATATTAATTTCAAAATTCGTAATTTTAGTTAAATGACAGTGTCAACATATTTGTTACTAATTGCAAATTATGTAAAAAAATTGTAGAGAACTTACATAATATTGTTTTAAAGTTTTGGAGGTTCAAATAACAAGTAGTAAGAAGACCAAGTGAAGGAACAGCTCTTACCAGTGAATGAACACCCAGTAAAGGAACACTTAATTTTGGTTATTTTTTAATGCTCTTTATGAATTTATAAGCCATACAAATATTTAAAAACAAGCCTATTCTTGAAATTATAACATATAAATACTTGGAAAATGTTAACTTTTTTTTGTAATCATGAATTGAAAATTAAAGTGTCAACATATTGACACATACTGTTCATTCACTGGGAAATCTATGCCCAGTAAAGGAACATGCCTGTTTTCTCACTGGTTAGAAGTTGTTTTTCGTATTTTTAACATACTTTTGATGCGGAACATCACTAAAGGTACAAGAAAATTAAAGTTTATCTTTTATTTTCAGTAACTTAGAAAAAAACCCTGTCAAGGAACACTTGTTCCTTCACTGGTTTTTCAGTGTTTGGTGATCCAGTGAATAAACACCCCCTATATTTTAAATTCTCTTTTTCACAGTGAGAAAAATAAAACTATTACATGCAATTAATTCCACTTCAAACATATAAATGCAAACACTCACCTTATAATTTTTTCAAAGAAACAAGGTGTTGCAGAGATAATAACAAATTCAAAAATTTTTCCAGAGAAGTCTATTTGACCAGGTAATCCAAAACATTGCTAGATGACTTTCTATTGTTTGGTAGTAGTGTTCCTTCACTGGTTGGTTTACCCTAGTACTTTTTATCTTCTAACCTAAAAAAGAGATTGCTTTTATCTTACAGTATATTCTGGTTGGAATAATCTGAAAAGAATGATAAATTACCTAAAAAAAGAAACTGAAATTTTGCAATAAAGTATTTAAGGTTTCATTTATTTCAATGAAAAGAATAGTAAAAAATACTATTAAGAAAATTTTTTATTTGAAGAAATTAAGAATATGAAATGAAGGGATACAATTATTCCAATAGTAATTCCACTCTCAGGTCTCTTCACAATTGTGGCATTGTATTTGGAGACAAAACATGATTGTTTTGCTGGACATTTGCATGGATTTAGTAAATATAAGCCCCTTGTGCACATTTTAAAATCATAATTTTGAGATGGACAGCTCTAAAATATTCTTCATTGAACGGAACAAAAAACTACACTGGATATTGGCAAACTGGAGTTGATACAATGATATCCAATTAAATTCTTTTGTATTTATTCACTTCTTTTATGTTTTTGATTTATGTTAATTATTCCTTTTATGTAAATGACTTCTCTTATGTTAATAGTTTTTTTAATGTTTTATGTCTATTATGTTTATTACGTTTTTGCCTTTTTCTGATCTAATTTTTGTCTTTTATGCTCCAATCTCATGCATCTTTCAATGGGAGGCCAATGACATTCAATAGAGCTTTTATAATGAAGAAAAAAAATTCATTGACTGTTTAATTAAAACAGTAAATTGAAATCTTTAGATTAATGTGTTCAAAATTTAAATATGTTCTGTTCTTTAACTTTAAATCTGAATATATTACTATTTATTTACAAATCTCTCTATACATTACTTAAAAGGTTTTGACTTCCAAGCATTCTTTTTTAATGTTCTAATAAATGTGATTTTTACAGAGATTGTTGCCGTTTTGAAATTCAAATATTAATAAAATACTTGGTCAAAGAATTATTTTTTAGAAGGATAAAATAAAATTATTTTGTCTTTCAATTTTTGTGCAAAGTTGGAGGAAAAACAATTTTATTTCTTAACACACCATCACCAGAGACATTTTTTTTAGAAGTTTAATGGAGTTTGTGCAATGTTTGTAATTTATAGTGACCCTTGGCATTATAAAATATGTTTACTTAAAATACTTTTATTCAATGTGTATACAATTTCATTCAGTATGGTACGAATTATGTATAAATAAATCTGTATAGTTTTTTCTATTTCATTATTAGGGAGAGATAGTATTTGTAATACCTAAAGAAAAGAGAATCACAAATCTTTATGAATATTGCCATTAAATCATAATTGCTTTCAACATAGTTAATTTTCATCCTAAAAATGAAAAGGCTATCATTTTCTGTGTGTGATTAGTTGGATTACATAAATATTTTCAAGTTTGAGACTAAATTATTTGCCAATTTTAGAAAACGTGGACGAATTTATGGTGCTCAGAGTGCATTGTTTAGAGTACTTGACATTGAAATGAGAAAAGACTTTGAATAATTCATTTTAAAAGATTGAAAATGAATTTTTTTATTAGATTGAAAATGGATAAAAAGAATCTGCAATGAAATATATTTAAATTAGTGTTGCCAGACTGTCATCTAAATTATTTTGTCAAGTTTTCTATCAAGTCGACATTGACAAATGCACTTTTATTATTGGCAAACATCCAAGAGAAAAATTTCTCTACTGTATTCATGTGAGGCTTTCTTACAGTTTTGATTTTTACATGTTACTTGCAGGTTTTAATCATTCATGGAAAGAAAATTTAAACTGAATCTATTTGATACCAGAAAGTAGTGTGTGTTTATGTACTTGTTAAAAAATTTTAAATTTAAGTAATCATGTTTTATTTAATTTTGATTTAAGTTGCGTGAGGAAATTCAAAAAAAGATTTTTTTGTAAAAATCTGTTTCTTTATTTTATAATATCTGTAATTTTCTTAAGAACAGTAATTGTTTTTTTTAACTCAATTTTGTTTCACACTTAATATTTGCAGCTGAATTTTATGATAGAAATACTTTTCTTTTTTTTTCCCAAAAAATTTAACATGCCTTAAAATGCCAGTTTTTGTAATTTCAAGCTATTAACTCTTTTCTTCTTTGACTGAATTATTTAAATTATAATAATGCAATATGGATGTCTATATTGAAATAAATTTTAAATGCATTTATTGATTTGCAGGTTATCACGCAACTGGTGGTTACTTAACCGTTTCAACACCACCGTATGCAACACCTCTTGCAAAGAGTTATGTTGAAGCCGGTTTAACTATCGGGTATCCAAATATTGATATAAATGGTGCTAAGCAAGGAGGTATGCTCAAACAGTTTTATTTGTTAACGTATAAAAAGTTTTAATGAAAGTGGCTTAGATTTATTGTGTATGCATGTTTAGTTCGTAATTGCACTATGAAAGAATTCTTCATTAAAATCTTCATCGTAATGAGATTTGTATATTTTTGATAGTTTTTTCTTATTTAACATAGTTTAGGAAATGTTTTTGTAACATTTTGAATTCAATGTATACAATAAGTGCTATTGAAAGTATTTACTTGCCTATGTCTATTTTGTCTCATAAATTTTGCCTAGTATGTTATGATGTCATGTAATATTTAATTTTATTTTTACCTTCTCCTGTTTAGGTTTTAGTTACACTAAAAAGCTAATTTATTTTTTAGGTTGGATGATTCCCCAAGGTACCATCAGAAGAGGAGCTCGTTGCAGCACTTCTAAAGCATTTTTACAACCAACTCGAGGAAGGCCTAATTTGGACATTGTAATATTTGCTCATGCAACAAAAGTAAGGACAAGTTTAGATTTTCTAAATCTTTTTTAAACACTTATTAAATTTCATGTATAGTATACATTGATTAATTTTTTTCTGTTTGTTTCTTTGTTCTATCATATTTTTTATTACAGTTTGTGATTATTCAAGTATTTCCTGTGTAGGGGGAAATGGGGTAAGACCATGTAGCTAAGATTCAAAGTTTCTAAACTGTTTGACCTAAAAATTGTCAGATTTTATCAAGATTATATTTAGTTGTGTGCAATATATTACTCCCGAAAGACTAATGATGGGCTACTTTTTAATAAATGTTTTTTTTTCTCGGAAAAGTCAAATCACCCAATCTTTCTCCACTAGTGGGGTAAGAATTGTGCATATGTTAACTCTATGGGGAAATTTAGAAATAATAGAATTTCATTGAAAAAGTGGCAGATATTTTCTCCCATTTTATATGACAATTTGAGAAAATTATGCATGTAATTAACTCTTGATGTAATCAAGACTACTCAAGGGAAAGAGGGGCAATCGTACGCTGGTACCGCTGAGAGCCCGAGCAAAATTCCTTACAAGAAATAAGTTATTAATTATTTTTTTAAAAATAAAATTGCGAAGAATTTTTTTTATCTACATAAAACATGCAATTTTCTATAAAGAATCTTCAAAAATTCTACAAAATATGAAAGTAAGGTTTTTTCGTGATTTGAGTAAGGCGCCAACAATTAATTTTATCCTGGGGCCCATGAGAAACATTAAGGCATTTTATAACGGTTGATAAAAGTCTGGTTATGTTTAGCAAAGTATCTCTTAAACATTGGATATTTTTTTTATTTCAATCAGATTTTTAAAAAAAATTGTTTTTGCATTTAACGATTTCACAAAATGTATAAATAATAGATATTATTTAACAATAATGCTGCAACTAAAATTCTTAATAATAAAAAGATTAGCAATATTTAATTATTGCAAATAAATTACTGAATAAATAAAGTCAGTTTTTTTTAATCAAATTAAAAACATTAATAAATTGCAAAGACAGAGAAACACATTATCAAATGAAAAGCAAATTAATTTAGATCAGAAAGCATTTTCAAAAATAAATTATTTTTGGCAGGACAAGTCTTTATTCCTTATTTACATGTCAATATTAAATAAGTTGTAAAATTACTTGTATTGTAATAAGTGTGTACAAAATGAAATGAATGTGATTGAAATGTATTTAATGATATTTATCGATTTGATGATTTAATGATATATTTATAATATTTATTGATAATAAAACAACAAATTATTTTGCATACTACAATGAGCACATTAAAATATGAAATAAATAAAGCAAAATTATAATTTAGAAGCTACATTCTTAACAGCAATTAAACTCTTAAAGAGAGATTATGTTTAATTTAACTTATTTCTTGATTCTATGAATAAAACATTTATTATAAATGGGATTTGATATCAATGGTTTATTATCACAGCCTTAAGTATAATATATTAGTTAATGGATTACTGTATGTATTTTTTAAATAAATCTCTGATTTTAAAAAAAAATCATATGATTCAATACATTTTTTTAAAATTATTTTTAAATAATTCTAACCGTGCTTTATATTTTTCTTGACATTTTTGCAGTTCTTGAAGATTGCCTTCCACAACCACTCCCACATTAAATTTAAAATCAGCAATAGTCGAAATTTTTAATGCAATTAATTTCTGTGATGTAAAAGTTTAGAGTTAACAAATAGTTCCTTGTTATTTTAAAAATTACTCTTGATATAAAGGAGCATTACCTGAAATGAAATTCACATTTAGCAATGTAAATTATAATAACTTGTATGAATTATATATTCAAGGAATAATAAAAAATGTCCAAGATTTAGTATATTTTCAGACTTAGACTATTTAGCGAGACTTGTAATAAAACTATCGATCAGTCTGGAATTTTTGGTGGCCCTGGGCAGTTGCCCTCCCCTAAGCATGGCCCATGATGTAGTTATCTTCTTCCTCCACTGCACTACAGATTTTGTGGGCCCAGCATAGATACACATGAAAGGGAAAGGGTTTTAACATTAAGTGCTACTATTAGACTAAATCCTCATTGTTTGTTACATATTTAATCTTTATGAAAAATATAATAAGCTGGACTAAAAATAATTCCTATGAATGTAATAACTAATAAATAAGTTTACTTAAAAAATAAGAGAACCTTAAAAAAGTTTTCATAGCTAAACAAACTTACCTACACAGATGCCATGAATTAAGTAACAAAAGTACAACATTATGGCTGGTCCTTCTTCTTGACTAGTAAAATATAATTGAGTTTGTTTGCTAAAAAACAGAACTAATTTCTTCTGAATTAAGATACCAAACATAATTATCCCTAAAATTTTAGAGGGAAATAACACCTAAAAGAAATGAAGTAGCTAATGTTACTTGTATGTGTAGCAACATGTAACAATTTTATGCAACGGGCCTTGTGTGTATTCATACATTTAAGAATCTAAAATTAAAACTAGTGGTTAATGTAGCAATTATGTTTACAAAAGCCATTTTTTTAAATCCATGAAAGTTAATTAAAAATTAGACTGAGTCTATATACCAAGAATATTGAAAAATTGTTAAAAATACTTGCCCACCCTTTTCAACTTATCTGCTCTTAAAAACTACAAGTGTTATTATTAGTGTGACAAAACGTAAAGCAACTTTCTAAACTCTTTCCTCGAAGGTTTGAATTCTAACTTTTAAGCAAAAATATAGTATAATGTTTTTAAATTCCAAATTAGATTGTGTCTATTTTTAATCTCCTTTAGATTCTTTTTGATGAGAAAAAACGGGCGCGTGGAGTACAGTTTGATAGATTACGTATTTCATATACTGTCCATGCAAGAAAAGAAATAATTGTATCAGCTGGTGCTATAAACTCTCCACAACTTTTAATGCTGTCAGGAATTGGCCCAAAACATCATCTGCAACAACTAGGGGTTGGTGAGATTGCATTAAATTATTTGTGTCTGCAATTTTATATATATTTTTTATTTAAGGTTTTATTAATTTACATATATATATATATATCTTGTATGGTATGTATCTATGGACTATAGCACATCAAATACAGCCTTGTTATATGGACTGTTAAAGATAGCATAAACAGTTCATAAAATGTTTGATTATCATTGTTCATTATTTTTTGTTGAATTTGTCCTAAAATTTTGTATGAAATTGATTTTCATTTACTCTGTTCCATAACTACTAAAAATATTATTATGAAAATGCTGGTTAAAAATTTCTAATTTAAATTAGTTGTTCATATTACTCGTACTTTAGTGTAAGATAAGTAACATCAATGCTATTTTTTTCTTTTTTTTTCTTATCTCGAAGTTAAAAATTTAATATTTAGTCTGTGTTTGGTTAAAGTATTTGAAAATTTTTCTTTGTTCCATTAAAGCCTATCTTTAAACTTTTTTTGCTTTTTAAAGCATAACTTTATCTGAATTTTTTATTAGTTTATTTTAAGCTTATAGTCTTTGTGTTAAAGTCAAATGTTGTGTTTTTTTTAAACATTTGAAAGTGGCTCTCCTGGTAAAATTAAATAAAAATATTTAGCATACTTATTATATTAGCATAACATAATATTAGCTTGTTGATGAATTATGCTATTTCTAGAGGTGAAACTAATGTAACGGAATTTTTTCCCTAATTTATTAAACAATTGAAAATAAGTTATTAAACAGTCAATTTTATAATTTTTCCATGTAGCTACTCCAAGTTTGTTTTACTTTCTTTTTATTCTAATATGCAATGTTTTAATTTTTTTTCTTCCAAAAGACTTATCAAAATCAAAAAAGTTTCAGCATCTATCTGAAATACTTCACAATATCTTTTCTATCAAATGTCACGCAATGTTCGTTGTTAGATACCCAAAAATAAGATTAGTTTTAGATATATTCTTATGCTTTTTCTAAATATTTGGCTCTAGTCTATAGAATTTTTTTTTAGCATTTTTTATAAAACATTTTATCAGACTTTACATAATGTCAGACTGAAGACATGATAAAACCTCCTAATTTAATGAATTGTAGGAAACATCCCAGCCTAGTGGAAGTGCTGTATCAGCATTAAAAACTTGAGATTTCTTTTACATAATGTTGGAGACTATGAGAAAGATTGAATAAATTACAAAAAGAATATCAAAATCTGCAATGCAAAATGACATTGAAACTGTGCATTAATGAATTATGAAAGAAAACAAAAATATACTTAATGTGTACAAGTTTCCTGATATGTATATTTTATAGACTAGGATGTTTTAATAGGTTAATTTAAAAGAAAAAGTGTTTAAAAATTAAACGTAGAATATTTAGATTGTTAAAGAATGTTTAAAATTTCTAATAAATTAAGAAAATCAAGTTACTAAATAATTAAATGAGTAATTGCTTTATAGCATTTCTTTGAAGACTAAAATTATTTTCAAAGGTCTTTATTAACATGCTAACTTTGGCTATGTCATGTGTTGATAACTATACTATTGTTTTTAAATGTGTGTAAAAATTTATGAAAGGTATTTATTTTAAAATCGTTTTAGAATTAAAAATATGTTTTTGAAACCTGTGACAAGCTTTCAAATGAGGTTAAAAAATATCGAATGGGTATAGTATAAATGTGTTTAAAAGACTTGCACATTATTTGAAATGCCTTGCCATGGTTTCATATGAAATGCATTTAACTTATCTATTATAAAACAAAAGTTTTGAAATAAGTTTTTACTAGGATGATAAAATTTTTACTAAGAGATAATAATGCATCTAAAAAATCAACAAATTTGAAATTCATATTGTAATAAAATAGGATAAATTATATTGATAGTAATAAAAATGCTTTTGTTGAATATTTTTCTTCATAGCATTAATTTTTTTCTTCCTATAGATTCCTGTTATTTCTGATTTACCAGTTGGATACAATTTACAAGATCACATTTATCCAGGGGGACTTCATGTTCTTATTGATCATCCTCATTCTATTTTGCAACCTCGTATCATTAATCTCATGGATATCAATAATTTCATTTTATTTGGACGAGGTAGCTTATCCAATTTCCTTATAGATTTTGTTTAAAATATAGATTTCAAACCTGTTACATTTGAAGCTGTTGTTCTCTTGTCATCTTATGTTTTCTAATCTAAATACTTTAAGGTAAAAAAAAACAAACAAATTTTATAGTGTGCCAATTAGGTTTCTTTGTTTTGCATAAAAATTAAATGTGATTTATTTTCTAATAAAATTGCTTTTATTTTAATATTGAAATTATTTTGGATCCAGTTATCAAGATGAGTATTATTATTTTCAAATTCTTTGTAAATGATTTTATTTAGTTCTTGGGAAATGAGAAAATGATTAGATGAGAAAATAAACCATTGTTGTCACATAACGTTTGAAAAATATTTTTTATCTAAAATTAATATTTTTGAAATATTCTATTGGTTCATCAGGTTGTCCTTTCCTGGGGAGATCCAATGAAGAACTTTTACACTTATTTTTCCTCATTCTATAACATTTTAAGTTTGTATGAGTATAGAGATGCATATAAATGATTTTATGGCACACTGTAGAAGAAATGTAAAAAGTGAAAAATGAAAAACAGCGTAGAAATAAAAATCAGCAAAGAATTAATAAAGTGTGTTAAAGTTTTTTTTTTTAAAATTATAATTTGATTTAAAATTATAATTTGATTTGCATTGTTTTTTGAGTAAACTTTTTTCTTATCTTCAACATTTCATCTTTTCTATCTACTATTAATTTATTCAGGGAAAAAATAGTTTAAATTTGTTTTCAACAATCATTCTGCAATAATTTCAATAATAGAAGACAACTATATTACACAGTCATTTATTCAATTAAAATCTTTCCTTTATAAAGCAATTTAAATAAAATTTCATTACCAAGACTACAATGTTAACATATATTTTATACTTTGTATTGAGAGGAAGTGCTCTTCCACTAATATACTGTGCCAAACAAAAAATGTCTTCTTGCTTGTTAAAAATCCAGATTTTCATTTATTCAGGCTCATTATAAGTAGGTTCTACTATATTTGTGTGTCTTTAATTGTTTTTAATTTTTTTAACCGTGTATTTATGTGTTTAATAGGCTTGAGAAATGCTCATTTGTGATGTTTGCTTTTTCTGTTTTTACGTTTAATCTATGCACAATTTTGACGTTAATGGCTTACAGGTCCTTTTACAACTCTGGGAGGGGTAGAAACTTTAGGCTTTATTCATACAAAGTATGTCAACGTTTCTGAAGATTGGCCTGATGCTGAAATTCATTTTGTTTCCGGCAGTCCCGTTTCTGACGGTGGGCAAACATTTCAACGTGTTATGGGAGTATCAGACCAGGTAATTTTATGAAATCTCTTATATTTTTTTATTCGTTAAGTTTTTTCTTTAATTTTTATAGTGGTTTGTTGCATTGATAAATTTAGATGAATTTCTGAATTAAAGTTAAACTTAGAAATGAATAATCAAGCTAAATATTATTTTTTTTGCTGCATTAATATTGACCATTTGCTGCATTAATATTGAAAATCTTCAATACGAAAATCCTTTTTCAAAATTTGATAACTGTTTACTTTATTGGCATTTAAGCAGGGACGTAGCTCAAAGCTGTTTGAGGGAGTTCTAATTCCCCAAATTTTTTCAAAAATTATGTTATATGTGAGTCAGGAATTTTCTAAAACAATACTTGAGGTACCCCTTTCTCAAATATTGTCACCCAGCTATGTGTCTATATTTTACTGGAAATTCAATGTATTCAATAACAGTTAACAATGTGTTATCAGCATCATTAATTTTAAAAATATTTAATTTAATTTTGAAATAAATTTTAGAAATTTAACTTGTGATTTTATTTCATTAAATAAGTTTTGTAATTTAGTTTTTGTACTTTTACTTTCGAAATATTTTTTTTGTTTTAATGCATATCATAGCTAGACTATTCAAAATGCATTTTTAAATTAAGATAAATTATTCATTTTTGTTTTTCAATTTTCTAACATAGCCAATTTTTTAAAAAAAAATGTGATTTGTAACCTAGGTGTGAGTGTGCTTTTTCAAATATAATTTTAACAGTTAATGTTTGTTTTTGGCTGTACTTGTTGGTTTTAAAATTTCTCAGCGTTATAAAAATATTGTTTTTATCTGACCAAAATATTTTAATTATAAATATTTATAAATTCATTTAATTATCAATTTTTTTTAAAAAGATTGCTGAATTTGCAGTTTTTTTTACTCTATTTTCTATGTCCCTTTGTGCTAAAGAATTCAGGTGTACCAACTGAGCTTGGTATTTAAAATTTTTTAACCTTTTTAAAATTTATCAAAAAAAAATGTGTTTATTTTATTCTATGTAGAAAGAACTTCATTTTAAATGCAGGAGAACTCTATTCTTTAAATTCCTATTAAAAAACATTTAAAAATGTTGTATTTAACACATTTCAGGCTTAATCATTTAAAATGAGTGGTAGTAAAAAATATATATCAGCAGATTTGCATTTTTTGACTAAAAATTAAGTCTAATTACCATATAAATTTCATAGTTTTTTTCTTCATCTTTTAATTCTGTTGGGTAGTTTTTACATTGAAAAGTAAACAAGTATAGCTAAGTTATAAATCCGCTAATTTTCTTTGTATTTCTTTTAAAACTTTTTAATACTGCCATTCATTTAAAAATCTTTTTATACTTTTATCATATAATTAATTTTTATCATTTTATTTTTAGTTGTGGCAGTCTTATTACAAGCCATATGTTTTTGAAGATACGTTTTCGATGCATCCTGTTCTCCTCAGACCTAAGAGTAGAGGATTTATAAAGTTGCGATCTACTGATCCCTATGATCCCCCAATTATTGATCCAAAATACCTAACTCATCCACATGATGTCTTAACTATGGTTGATTGTAAGTTTTCCCCTTCATTTGTACTCAATTAAATAATTTTAGAAATTATTTATCTTTCATTGAAAAGAGTATATTTAACCTTCCTAAGTTGTTCAGTGTCTTTTTGAACCCAAATAACTTAAACAGACTTAAAAAAAACAACAACAAAAAAACTGAAGTTGATTTAGATACTTTTTGCTTTTTATTATATGGATTTTCTTTTTCTAAATTTAAACATTTGAAGGTTCACTTTCAGATAAGTACTGCCTTGAAAATCCAGAGACCCATTATCCTTTGATTATTTTTGCAATACTTTATTTATAGCATTTTGATAGACAATGGAAGTTCATTTTTGGCATAGTATGGGCTATTCTGCATAGTATACTCATTTCAACAACCACTTTCTTAAATTGGATTGCTATCAGTAACGTGATGCTTATTTTAATATGAAAATAGATTTGCAAAGCTAAAAATATGAAAAATCTATCATTCTAATTTTTTTTAATAGAAATCTATGTAATCTGTGTTTTAACATTTATTTTTCTGTTTAAATTTGACCATATAATTTAAGATAAGGTTTAATTTCCTTATGGTAAAATTTATATTTATTTTTCACCAGATTTTTTTTTATGGTATTATGTTTGGCTTTTACAGTATATCTGCACCTATTATTTGTCTGCAGTCACGAATAAAATATTTTAGTGATTTTGATTGTGTAATATTTATTTTGAAATTTTGATTGTTTCTGAAAATCACTGATCTGCATTATATGTTAGCTTTATAATTTTTCTGAATTCTTGTACATTTTATCAAAAAACGCTTACTGGAAAACCAAATTTGAAAGAAATTTTTTTTTTTTATTGCAAAAAAAATTTTTTTTGTTGAAATTTTTAAAAAATATTTTAAACATTTTTAAAAATTAATTACTTTACAACCATTAAAAATACGTTGATATTAAAATTATTACTATTTTACCAATTTACCAATTTTTATGAAAAATTTTGCCAATATATAATATTTTCCTTCTTTTCTAACTGTTAAGCGGTACTTCCAAACAGTATGTTACTTTCCATTCCATTTTATCCTGTTTCCACTCAAATAAATGTCCATATAAATTGTTTTTAGATCCTTTATGTTCAACATTGAAGTTTTGTTGCTATTTTAAGAATTTTATATCTTTCAAAACAGCTATTTGCTACTTATATTTTAAACATTTATTCTTTTCCTTATTAATTCTTAGTATTGAAATTTGTTTTGCTTGTTTCAAACTTAACCTATTAAATTGATATTTTAAGAATTTCAGTATCGGAAATTAAAAAGTTTACGCATTTTTTGATTAGTATACGACTTGTCTGATAAATAATAATAGTTATGCTTTTAAAATTATTACAATAATAAATTGTTGAAAAGTTTTCCAGGCACAAGGATTTTTTAGGTTAATAACAATCTGTGACTAAATGTTTATCGGCTATTATTTAAATTTCAAATTATAAGAATATAAAATATTAATAATTATGCAATTCTTCATTAATATTTTGAATCTTTATTTTGCCTGAAGTCAATTCGAAAAAAAGTATTCATCACCCCTTTTTATTTTTTCATGGTACATAAAAACATAAAAAGTGATTTATAACTATTTTTCACTAAACTTTTAATTTTGAAATGAAGTTCTAAAATTGCTGCAAATAATTACACTAGTTTATTTTGTTTATTATAATTTTTTTTGTCCCTGAAATTCAACCTTGTAATATAGTTATCTCTTCATAAAATTCAACCTTGTAATAAAATTATTATAACTAGAAATTTAGATTACTTTTTTAAGATTTTTAAAAATGTTTATTATGAAACATTACTAAAATTTGGTTGTATCTTATACTTTCAATCTCAACTTTGTAACTGAAATTTGATACAAAATATAACTAAGACATATTTTATCAACAAGTAAAAATCAACTCTCAGTTACTGTTTCAAAATTATAAACTTTTCATTTACCATCTTAGAGCTTAATATTTCTTCTATTAGCACAAAGATATAGTTTATGTTATAAAAAGTTGAATTGATACGTTATTTCTTAGCTATTTGTATTTGCATCCACATAAATTGAAGGATATTATTTTTTAACAAAAATGTCCATAACAATTTAAAGAAAATTTTAGTAGCTCTTTTATTGCTGAGCTACTTTGGCCAACCATGAAACAATTTTCTTGTTTAGTACTATCTGTTATGTAAGAAAGCAAACATCCATTCTGAATTGAATCCTTGATAAAAAGTTCATCATCAATAGCTCGACAGCCCAGGGTGGGCCTTTTCCTCCTCAAGAAGTTTTTTCCTGCTAGCATTTTCCAGTTTTTAGTTAAGACCAAAAGGTATTTTTCTAGGCCATCTATCCATCTGAAATTCAGCTTGCCTCTTTTTCGTGTGTCAATTGGTCTGGCATTAAGCACTCTTTTTGTGGTGCGGTTTTCATCATTTCTTGATAACGTGGCCTTCCCATTTTATTCTTTGTTTAATACCTCTCAAGACCTTTCTCTCAAAGGTACCCAATATAACTTCATCTGTACAAGACATGGTCCAGGTTTCTCAAGCATATGGTAAAATTGATCTTAACAGATTTATGCTATAAAACCTTTCTTTTTCTATTTATTACATTAAGCATTAGATTTAGATTTCTATTCAAGCATCTATTGGCTATAGTGATTCTCTTGTGTATTTCTATTGTAATATTGTTCCTGTTGTTGATTACAGAACACAAGTAAACTAAATTATCAACAACCTCAAATTTACGAGTTAAATGCTTTAATAATTGTCCATTTTGTAGATTTTTTTTATTTTTGATTCTGCATCTTTAAGCAATTTATCTTTTTATAAATATGGGTTTCATGGTTACAAGCACCACCCATGATTTCTCTTGTTTCCATACTCTATTTTCTCTTATTAATTATAATATTGTAAATCGTGTCGTGTGTAATCTTGAATTTTAGACATTCAAAGCTTGTGCCATTTAATTCTACATTCATTGTAATCCATAAAAGTATGTATTAATTCAATGTGTAATTTTGTTGCTAATTTTGAGGATCAAATATTTTTTTTTCTGTACGTTTTTAAGTGGTTATTCATGGTGTATCTCCAGGACAATTGAAAACTTTTTTTTTCCTTTTCATTTCATGTTTCTTATGGTGTTGCCACTACACTTTTTTTCCCTAGCTATGAAAATTTGCATATCTGCTATGAGAACGCCTGCTATTCAAAAATTTGGAGGCAAGCTGTTTGAGTCCCCATTGCCAGGATGTGATCACTATCCTAAATACAGTGATCCTTATTTGGAATGTTTAGCGAGGATGTATACTGCTACATTGTATCATCCTGTTGGAACATGTAAAATGGGACATCATTCAGATCCAACAGCTGTCGTGGATCCACAGCTTAGGTGAGTACAATAAAGAGTGAGAAAAATTAATTTGTAATATTTGAGAAAAGGTTTTATGTAACTTGATGTTATTCTAAGTTCATATATTTTTTAAATCCTGCTCTACTGCAGAATGAGAAAGAAAAAATGATTTGAAGAGAAAAAAATGATAAATTATTCCATAACAAATATTTTGGGCTATTGTGATTATCACAAAATTAAATTATTATTTGTTTTTAAGTTGGTTTTCTTGACTAAACAGCTTAAATTGTATTTAGAAAGTTTTCTTCTTCCCTTAATGATAGCTGTATATTTATATTCTATTGAATGAAAGTGTTATTCTGAGGTAGATCATATTTGTAGTATTTTTTCCCTCTCAATATTGTGGAAAATTTTTTGTTTTTAATCAGTTTTCAGTGAAAGTAAGGATGTATAATACAACCAGGACAGAAATTATTCTATATGTAAATAGTTAAAGTTCCCTTACCATGAGTAGTTGCTGAAAAAGTAACTACAATTGCTTTTGAAATAAATTTGCCAATTTTGCATAGGATGGATTAGTTCAAATGCAACTGTAGTTGGTTTCGTTCCAAAACTTCTGCTTTAAGACAAGTTTTTCTTGATACTTGCCTCAAGAGTTTCCTTGTATTTGTCTTTAAAGTTTTGAACCTAACAACTGAACGACGGGATACTTTTTGAATACCTTGCTTATAATTTTTCTCTAGGATTTATTTTATTATACAGTAGATCCTTATACCGCAAACAAAGAAGCCAGGGGGATTTGGGTTTTATTGAATTTTGCGTTATATAGATTATTTCCTTTATCTTTAAACTTACTTTACTATATATGGCAATATTAGTCTAGAACTTATCAATCTCTAAAAGCTTAATAGTTTTTAGATACTTAAAAACGCATGCATACTTTATTTGTAATTTACCAAAAATTTTCTGCAGTATTAGAACTAGTAACAAACAAAGTGATACATTTTCGTTTAAATAGATTTTGACATTTTCCCTTTTTTAGCAAATAATAAAACAAATAATGCAAAAAGTTGTTAGTTCATGCTCAGTTATGGAAATTTATTAACTGCAAATATTATTTTTTACATTCATAAAACCAGTGTGGTTTATGGAAATTTAGGGTACATAGAATTTCGTTATATAGATCTTCTACTCTATGTTATAAGCTACATTAAATTCTTGGTTAAGATATGTAAAGTCATTGAGATCATAAGACATGATCTATAAAATGTTGATACAATTAGAAGTTTAAGTATTTTATTTAATGTCGAAATTGGAACAATTTCATTTCTCTAAAAATGAATTAACATAACCATTTACACTTATGCGAAAGTATCTTTTTATAATATAAACTTAAACTTAATTTTCTTATAGTTTTGCCTATTTAAAATTTCACTTTAATCGTACACACCTTATTTATATTTTTGTATTTTTTTTTCTGTGTATGATTGGTTTCATCGACTTTTCTTTAATTATTAATAAAAATAAGAGAATTGACAGTCCAATGATTGATTGATACATAAAATATATACATAAGTGTAAAAACTTATTTTATTTCAAAAATTGTGAAAAATGTTATTGAATTTTTACAGAGTTAAAGGTGTGCAAGGCCTGCGGGTAGCGGATGCATCTATAATGCCAGAAATAGTCTCTGGAAATACTAATGCTCCATGCATTATGATTGGCGAGAAAGTATCAGATATGATTAAAGGCAAAAGAACTTTCTTAAAACCAAAAGGAAAAAGATGATAGACTTACCATTATATTAGGTTTTTCAAAAATCTCTTTTTGCTCAATTTTATCTCCCTTTTTTTAAAAAAAAATTGTTCCTTTAAATCATGTCTTCTGTGAAGAACTTATGTATATAATTTATGAACAAAACTGTAAATAAAATTTATAAGGTAATAAGGATTTAGGGTATTTATTAACTGGTGAAAAACAATTTGTTTCTTTGTTAAATTGAACTAGGTGATAATTTTGAACGAAAGGAATTGTTTTTGTGAATTTTGTTTTAATGGACTTGAAAATTTTAATTTTGTTAAAAATATACTTGTTTGAAAGTGAATCTTAAAACTTTTATTTATCAGATTTTGAATGTTCGTAACAAATTAATTTATTTCTAATTGAAAGTTTATTGATTTCTATATGTGTCTAAAATTTGTTTCTGTATTAAATTGTTAATCTGTAAGTGTGTTCGTATTAAGTTTAAATTCTGCTTTGACTATTAGGGAATCACTTAGATTGTATCAGTATTATATTATCATATATTTCTTAATTAAAAAGGATACAGAATCAAAATCTGCCTTTTTTTAAAATTTTTATTTGTTTAAAAATTGAAATAACATTGAATTGCATCTTTTTTTAAAACAATACCTTGAATTTATAGAAATTGTTATACATTTTTAAAGTTTTATAATTGTTATAATTTAAATGCATATAGTTAGTTTAATTTTTCTCCAATTGTACATATATGTGTTGGGATAAGTAAAGGCTTTTGATTTCATTGCACTCAGTATTGTATGTCTTTCATTTAGTGATGTATTTCTTTAAAATCTAATTATGAAACAAAATAATGAAATTAAAAAAAGAAATTTTAAAGAATAAAAAATGAAATTTTATTAGAATTTTAAAATTATTTTCTTGTAAAATTAGTTCATTTAATAGTACTATCTACTAATATTTGCAGAATTTGGTTTTATAATTGCTAAGTTTTAACGGAATTGAGAGCATTAAAGGTTTCATCTTTAAGACAGCATATTATATAGTGGTATCATTTTTATAGTGATAGAAAAATTAAAGCCCTAGCAGAAAGCCAAAAATAAAACTCCTCTTAAACATTATTATATAAGGTAACATATTTTTTCTTTTGAAAAATGATAAATAGTGGTTACAAAATTGTTTAATTTTGATATTTTTTCTTTTTTTGCTTCCATCTCTACCCTTAAAATTCTCTTAAGATTCGTGGAATCCCAGTAAAAATATAAAAGATTTTAATAGAAACTTTTATATCTTATAGAAATTACTCTCCAACACAAAATCTGATATTTTGTAGTAATTTAAAATTTAAAATCATTTGAGTCTTTTTTTTTTAAAGCTATGATGTATCGTTTGTCTTGTTTGGAAAAAAATTTTTGCTTTAAACTTTGCTTTGGTATTGAAGGCAATAGCATCATGTAGTACTAATAAAATGTTTTTTAATTAACTTTATGAGATTGTGAAATGAGGAATTATTATTTCTTAAGCTGTCTACATTCCAAGTTAAGGTGTATAACGTAATATTTTCTCTTGCTTTCCAGTTTCATTTTTTGCTTTTATCATTTTGATGTGTAATTATTTAATACATTCTAAGAGCTAAAATATGCTTACTATCAAATATATTTGTTTCTAATAGTTTTTTTTTAATCAAATTTTTTGAAAATCTGTTTATATAATTTTTTCATTTTATATGTAAATTTGTAACTTCTAAACATACACAACTTATCATAGTTGTGAATCAATAGAATGAATTCAGTTTATAATAGCTGTTGAATATAGAATTTAAATAGTGAAAGCTTAAAACATTTCAGATTGCACCTACTTATACCAAATTTAAAATATATGTGAGATTAATATATATGCTGTTTTTTTTCGAGAACACTGTTTTAATATAAAACTTAATGCATGAATATTTTTATAATTGAATTCTCTTTTTAAACATGAATAATTAGTAAATAGTAAATAGACTTCTTTAGTAAATAGACTGCTTTTAATGAAATGTCTTAGATAAGTTCTTTTTAAATCCAAGATTTTAATTATTTGTGGACCATAAAATTTTCATGCTCATTAGTAAAATTATTTCTGTTAATTTTGATTGCGCTTTCTAACTAAAGTGTTCAGGATTGTTTTTAGCAAGAGAAAACACTTTTTTAAAAAACTAAATTGGTAAAATTATTAATTTCGTTTATTTGTAATTTGATATTAAGAAGTAAGCATTTCTTGAGCTAGTTGGAAGATAGTTTTAAACTTCTTCTCAATGTTTTTGACTTATGCCTGTTAAGGCAGAGGGGTGGGTTTGTTCTTGTTTTTCCAGTGGCGCCATCTATGGCCGAATTAGTCTTCTGCCACACGCATACAATACACCCGTTTATAGGGCGGACCCATTCATTCATCCACAGATCGTAATTTTGACCTGAATCAGAAAACGATCAATCTCCAATTCAGTACCCTTAAGGTATTGATTTGCTATGGGAACATGGAACAGATTTAATGTGCATCAGTCACCATTTATTGCACAGGGAGTCTTCATCCGGCGGGGTTCAAACCCACGAACTTCTTCTCAATAATTTAGTTTAATGTAAAATTTATAGGAATTTTTTTTCTCTTAACATTTTTTTACGAAATGCGAGTAAAAGTGTCATCTTCACTATTTTAAATGTGTATATCAAATTTTAATATTAGCTTAAAAAAATATTAGATCAGACATGTTCGTTTAATTGAAAGAATTTATAGTGCAAATTTTATTTATTTGATAATTTTTTTGTGGTTTAATCTGTTGATAACAAATGTTCCAATTATTTCATACAAACTTTTATTTTCACAATGTATATGTACATTTGGCATTCATTTTAGGAAACAACTTTACATATAAATTGAAACAGATATTTTGTCAAGTTATCAAAACTTGTTTACAATAAATAAAATATTTACACTATACATTTCAGTTTCATACTTTTAAATTAAATAAATTACCCCCAAACAGATCTATGATGTCTACGTGTGAAACAGAATGAAATTTATCAGAAATGATTAATTCATAGCCATATTCAAACTGAAAATGTCAGTTTCGATCCTTCGATATAAACTGTATCCAGCCATTTTTGCATTCGATGCAAAAATAAATAGCTTTTTTTTCTTCTGAAATATAAACAGTATTGATCAAACATTGATCAGTGCTGCAAAATGTCTTTTTTTTTTTTAAAAACACTTTAATAATTTTCTTGAAAAGTTTTTAATTTCTTTGAATGTGTTACTTTTTCAGATGTGTCCGCTGGCTTAGTTTAATCAAATCTGCAGCTTTTTCTGCAATCATGATGACGGGTGCATTTGTGTTGCCAGATACGATAGTCGGCATAATAGATGCATCCACAACTCTTAAGCCTCTTATACCCTTCACCCTGCAGAAATAAAAACAATATATTAGTTTTGATCCACGGACTAACACTGGTTTCGCCATACCCGCCATTATCTATTACTCTTATACATACATATTGAACATTTTAATTAAAGTTGTGAAATTGTTAAACATACTTTAAGTGACACCCTCGCCGTGGAGTTCCGAAACATGCAGGAGTTTAAAGATGCACTATACCAACTCCATGTTAGTCACTAACATAGTGATATTTATGACTTCGTCATAAAAGAGTAAATAAATAACTAAAAATGCTTTGCCAGGAGGGGAGGCAAGACGTAGAAGTTTTTAAGTTCGGAAATTTTAAAACTTTCATTTCTCAAGAACTATTCAGCCAATGACGTTCAAATTTCGTAGAGTAAATGTACATTTTAAAATGGTATGAAAATTTGTATACCTTGTCATTCAAACATTTTTCTATCTTTATTAAATAATTATTAAAAATTCTTAGGATCGAACTTGAACAGCCACCGTGATAAAAAATTTTCATAATGGTAGTTTTCATTTCAATGACTTTTATACTTTAACGTATAAATCTTAATTATAAAAGTTAAATCTTAATTTGTCTTACGTTCCCTAGAAAATAACTGATTCAAACTTATGCAAGGCATATGAATTGGGCTTTTATATTTTATTTTTAGTAAAGTCTTAACGCTACCACTTTGTCAAAACTTCTTAAATAACTGTACAAGTTAGCAGCTATAAAAATTATTATTAGAAATTTTTTTTTTAGTTTATTTTTTCGGATAAGCAAATTTTATGCCGAAATGTTTTAATTCTCAGTAAAATTTCCCGCGAAATAAGCAAAAAGTTAAATGAAGAGTAAGGGGATTAAATGTTCGCATGCTCTCCTGGCTTAACTATTTGTACTTTACTTTTCAGATTGCTGCTACCTCTCCTATTTTGATGGTCGAAAATCCCAATTTTGACCATCATTTTGGTCAAAATTGGGAAGAATTTTTTGTTTATCCAGAGAAAATATCTTTTGTGTCTCCCTTTTTTGTTTTTAAAATATCGTTTGCATTAATGAATCAGCCTATTTCAGGTAACCATTAAGATTGGCTCTTATTTCGTGAAAATTAGAACAATAATTCGGATATTAGAACAGAAGTTATAGATATATTTGTTGTCCTGTACATGGATGGTACTAAAGAAACTTATCTAGTCTAATGAATAATTACCTGAGAAGTGGATCTACCACAGCAGTGGGATCCCAAGGGCTGCCCATTTTGCAGGTGCCCACTGGATGATATATGGTTATGGTGTAAGTACGAGCAACGCATTCGAGGTACCTGATGCTCCATAGGGTGTAGGCTTCACATCCTGGAAATTGGGTGACAAATGGCTGAGCTCCCATTCTTAAGAAAGGTGGCTGAAATCCCATTTGAAGTGCAATTTTCATTCCTGGAATGGAATAAATTTCTATTGTTATAAATCGGCATTTGTTTTTCTTTCTTTACACTACTTAATACCGTGAAAGTAAAAAAGATTCCACAATTAGCGAAGGGAAAAATGAGCACTTTAAATGTTTAAGTTACGCTGGAATGCTTTTTTCGATTGTGTTTGAATATGGATAGATAAGATAATTTAGGTTTTATTATATTTTTTTTTTGGAGGAAGGGCGCCTCCTTTTTAGAAAATATGAGAAAGTAGCGTGAAAAAGTTGTATTTTTCTCGATTCCACACATTTTTAACATCGTAGTACCCGAAATTGTTTTATCTTTCTGTAAAAATGTACGACTTACGAATCATCCTACGGATTTTTCTTCCGTTTAAATTTGCATCAGACGTAGTTTATAACACCGAATACATTTGTTATCTAGTGTCATAGCGCGTTCTGGCGCCCATTCTCCAAGGTATGCAACGCGATTTTTAGCGACACACTGTAAATTGTTATCAATAATTTTTCTAGATTAAGAATCGAAATAGCTCATAGCTTTTTGAGATGTATGTGCTTGAAATTCGTACTTTTAACACTCGTATAAAGTAGAGATAATAAAACTTGAATACCTTCCACCAATACTTTCAAATCTCGCTCATCTTCGAAGTAATGAGGATCGATCCTGGGTTTGACGTGAGGATTCGCTGACTGAAGGGTAATGCGACCTCTGCTCTTGGGTCTCAGAAGAACAGGATACATTGTGAATGTCTCCTTCCCTATGTATGGCACATACACTGCTTCAAACATCTAAAACAGCACAAAATATTCAGTTTTTTAATTGTCGCGATCTTTGTTTTAAAATGTTGCAAATTCAAAGCAGAGCATCCATTGAGCAATGAGACCGATTGTAGTAATTATTAGATTATTTTAATTTCGAAATAAATATTATTAAAAATATTTTATCTTTACAATAATTTTATGTAAACAATATTTTATTTTTAAAATCAGTATCGCTGTGGTAAGTATAAGGTGAATTTTGATTCCAGACTCTCAACGCTTACAAGTGCTCAGGGGTATTAGGCTGGGTCGGGAAAAAAAATCTAAGTATCAGTACAGAAAAGTTATTAAAATGTTATTAAAGTAAATGTTATTATCGTTATTAAAATGTTGCGAAATCTCGTAACTATGAATTTGATTTCTATTTTCTTAGTTGGCTAAAAGTTGTAAAAAATTTACTAAAAATGCTCAAAACTAGAAAAAAAAAATTATTTTCCTAAAGTGCCTAAAAGTTATCATTTTTGAACAATATACGAGTAGAATACCTGTTCAAAATTTTACCTCAACGGCAACGAAGTTTGGATTGGGTAATAGAGATGGCAGAATTAAATTGATGTCTTTTTGGCCTCAATGAACCAATCCAAATGTCGGTGCAGTCGAGGTGACAGAGAATCAATCATAGGTGAGCTCTTAATTTTGGACATAACTAAAAAAGCGTCTGTGAGAAAACACTTTTTCTAAAACACTAATTTTGAGGTGTGTAATTTTTTTTTTTAACTCTCATTTCCAACTTTGTCTCTTTCCTTAAAAAAGACATTTTGAGCTGTTTACATTTTTTAATCACGCTTTTTGAGCTGCTCCCAAAATGAAAAGCTCACGGACGAGATATACAGTTAAAAAAATTTGAGTTTATACCATTTTTAACAAATGGTAACTTGCTACCGCAAGCCAGTCAACAAAAATTATATTAATATTTTTATATTTTAAGCATTTTTTGTCTAATATTCACAGTTTATTCCATTCTATAACAGTCGTTGAACAGCCGATCCAATTTTCGGGTTTACGAATACTAATGTTCAATACGAATTGGTCTATACGGTTCGTCGATTGGCCGATCGTCGTTTCGGCACTACTGCTTCCAGATTCTTAAACCTTTTCGATCGATATACATATAACGTGATAAATTTTTCTACTCTCTAACTATATGGGGTAGCAGGTTATGAATTTTTGGTGCAAATATCTCAAGAGTAAGTGGTACGATTTTGATGTGGTCTGTTTTATTTTATATTGCTGACTAAATTCTTGAAATATGCGGTTTAATTATTCAGGTAGATAGGTACTTTAATTGCGTCGCTTTACAGGTGCACAATGGGCTATTGGCGCCGGTTTAGTAAATATCCCTGCGGATGATCCCATGACATGCCATCCCAATTTTGATTCTCTGCAGAGGGGATGGTTACTTCGCTATGGCTGCCCAACGCCCTGTGCGCGAAGTCTAGCACTTTACGGTAGAACAGTTTACGAGAATCGATCGTGCACACCCTCGTTCTCTACGCAAGCTGATCAAAGAGGTCACCCACCCGCTTACTGACCGCAGCCAGTTATGCTTGATTTCGGTGTTCTACTGGGAACCGTGTCTTTGTGATTTATCCCCTGTGGGGCTTTAATTATATACACAACACAACTTGAAATGTTTTTAATTGTCTTTCTTTTTAATGGAGCTTAACATTTTGATTCCTTTAATAAAATCTAAATCACTAATTACAAGATTTTAATTAGCAGTATCTAAAACTAAGTATAACAAAAATCAGTTTCTATGTAGTAGTAGTTGTTCATTTACGTCGCACTAGAGCTGCACAATGGGCTATTGGCAGCGGTCTGGGAAACATCCCTGAGGATGATATGAAGACATGCCATCACAATTTTGATTCTCTGCAGAGGGGATGGTACCCTTGCTTCGGTAGCCCGACGACCTACGCGTGAAGTCGAACACTTGACTGTAGAACAGTTTAACGAGGAACAATACCGCACATCCTCGGTCCCTACGCAGACCGATCCAAGTGGTCAACCACCCGCACACTGACCGCAGCCAGTGATGCTTGACTTCGGTGATCTGCTGGGAACCGTGTCTTAACGATCAGTCCACTGCGAAATATTAGTTTCTAGGACATTTGCTCCAGAAATTCACATTTTCCGTTTAGAAATTAATATTGGCTACGAGTAAAGACTGTTGAATTTTTTAGAAGTGTCATTAAAACTACAAAAATATGATCATAACAGATATTCTTTTACAAAATCAATAATGTTAAAATAAAGACAAGGAATTGAGCATACAAGCCTAAATGTTCATGTATTCTAGTTGTCATACTAGGTAAAGATTTTGGATCCTGTCTTAACCCAGGGCTAAAGAGAATAGAAGGGCTGGTTCACTCCTTTGAAGTATCTTTCGCCGCGCCGATCCTCCGACGTCACTCTAGTGACGTCACTTTGGCGCAAAGCTCGCACTNTGTGGAAACAGTGACGTCATGAGGAGGGAAATCGTAGCTTCAGCTCTAAGAGCGGAGTGAACTAGCCCTTGTATTCTCTTTAGCCCTGGTCTTAATCCGAATATTTTCAAAAACGCTTTCACATTTCCCAATGCTCTAAAGTGCGCAAGACAGCAATTTTCGATAACATTTCTGATGTCTTGGGTTGGTCTTTCTGATAGAGGAGATGAAGAAATATGAGAGGGGATAATGAGCGTTATTGAGTACGTTTTGTTGGTAAAAAGAAAGAAATTTCAAGTTTATGTTCACTTCACTAACATTGACTCAGATGTTAAAGGAGTTAAAACGGAGAAGAATGCCCAGCGAGATTCCAGATTATAGCATTTCTGTGGTATTCAACCAGTGATTACATTTCCCTGTGAGAGAGGCTTAATTTTTCTTATAGATTGAAGACAGCTTACAGAAATTCTTTGAAGGCTGAAACACTTGATGATTTTCTAAAAAGAATTTTTGTACATTTGACCCCCCACTCTACTCTTCCAAACAGAATTTGATGCTAAGCTTGAATTTTACAAATGGTATTTTAATGTAAAAAAGCAGTGGTATACAAATATGAAAAGTTTAAAGTATGGGAATATTTCTGATATTTGTTTGTATTTCAGTAATTATTAATGATATCTGGACAACAATGGAACCCTTGAAACTTTTTTAATAATCAAACTAATATCAGTCTCTTAAAAACCAGTCTCGCACAGAACTGATCGTTAAGAGACTGTTCCCAGGTGATCATCGAATCATTTTCTGCGGTCAGTGGGCGGAGGAATGACCTGCTTGCTTAGCCTGCAAAGGGACCGAGAGTGTGCGGCATCGGTCCTCTACCATAAGTGATACCATAAAGGGTTGGTTTATTGAAATTATATACATTTGCTGACTTGTGTGCTCAATATAGGCTTATAAGTCATTGTCAAGTAGAAAATACAGATAGAACAATTCAGAGAAAGACATCACAAAGAATACATCTAGGGTTACAGCGGGATTCGAACCCGCTACCTCCACGCTTAACAGAGCGACCATAAAGGGCTTGACCTCGCGCAGGTGGTCGGGCTAATGAAGTGGGTGCGCCACCCCTTCTGCAGAGGATCAAAATTGTGATGGCATGTCTTCGTATCATCCTCAGGGATGTTTCTCAGACCATCACCAATAGCCAATTGTGCAGCTCTAGTACGACGTCAATACACTACTGCAACAATAAACTAATAGCAATGATTTTCAGCAATGAACTAATTGTAGTTTTTTCATTTTCTACATTCTTTTATGGTCACCAAGAATTTCTTTATACTACATTTGTAACATTCTGAGAATTTTTTTTATATTGTTATTTATTGTAATTTGTTGTTTTTCGTTAATATAGTGGCGAACAAAAATTTTGGTCTTTCTAGTACTTAAGAATTGAAACATCCAGCCCTGCTTTAAGTCAATAATCCAATACATCGCTTTATGTCAATAAATGTGCTGTTTGGCTTTGTTGTATATTATGAAGTTGGTTCGACTTCAATTTGATCAATTGTTGGCTGAGATTCTAAAGTGACAAACGCGGCTGCCATTTCTTACCTCCATGTTTTTAAATTTAGAGGAGGTTGTGGCTGGTATTAAAAATCCAACATATTTATGCAGCATATTAAATGCGTTGAGGCAAAATCTTCTTCAGTTGCTGAGAAGGGAAATCTGAAAAATGGGTTGATAATAGTTTAGGCAACGACAACGCCTTCAACAGAGGTCAAACTTGCGTAGCGCTTTTGATCTACAAGTTTTACTTATACGAAAAGGTCAAAGTTCTTTCAGTGACTTCAGGGCATGAACCTATGACTTTCTGTTTTATAGTTGAGATCTTGCGTTTATTTGTTTATCAATACACGCATATGCGGTTTGCATGCTTATTACAAAGACGGCTTTTAATCCCTTGTTAAATTGTAGAACAGATGGCACAAATCGGAGGACATCACAAATATGCATGCAGGATTACGGTAGGATTTGAATCCCCAACTCCACGCTACAGAACGCTTAGCTGACCGGCTAGATCACTCATCCTCCTCGAAAGGGGACTTCCTTCCGAGCGGTATCGCCCCTCAAACGTTGTGCAAAGCGTGGAGGTAGCGGGTTCGAGTTCCGCTGTTACCTTGGATGTATCTTCGTACTGTCTTTCTCTGTAATGTGCTATCTGTTCATCTACAAAGACACGGTTTCGGGTAGAACATCGAAGTCAAGCATCACTGGCTGCTGTCCGTAAGCGGATGGGTGACCACTTTGATCAGCCGTTGTAGAGACCGAGGGTGCGCGGTATCGGTTCTCGTTAAACTGTTCTAGCGTAAAGTGCTCGACTTCGCGTAGGTCGTCAGGCTACCAAGGCAGGCGAGCCATCCTCTCTGCAGAGTATCAAAATTGCGATGGCATGTCTTCGGATCATCTTCAGGGATGTTTCTCAGACCATCACCAAAAGCCCATTCTGCAGCTCTAGTGTAACGTAAATAAAGTACCTATCTACCTACATGACAAAGACTTATAAGTCTTAATTGAACACACAAGAAAAGTAATTGATATTCGATTTTTGATTAATAATTGATTTATGTGGATAGTGGCATAGAATTTAGCATTGCGTCATGGTAAATGTTATTCCTACTAAGTGGAAGTAGTTGTGTTTTTTTTTATATTATACCCAATTGAAAATCAAAGCACATTCTTCCAAATAATCAATTCTTGACTGCACGTGCTGCTATCAAAAGTATTCAATTTAGCCTTCTGATGAAGTAAAAAATAAACACATCATGGTTTGTAAATTAGCATTAAAGTGATAAAAAAAAACACAAAAACTGTTTCAGAAACTGATGACTTACCATGAGATGAATAATTAAAAATAATGGAAACCAGTTTGATTGGTGATAAAACTGAAAGGAGGTGAAAGGCCTCCTCTTTCAGTTTCACCTAACAGCCGATATGACAATTTGAGATTTTACCTTGTCCGATAGTCCCATCACTTTCCGAATAGATTTTCCTTCATCAGAAGAGGGAGAACTTGATATAAAATGTATTTCTACGTCCGGCCAGTCATCAGATCGATTGGCGTAAGGCGTCTTCACAAAAGCTAATCCTTCACATCCACCCAAGATTGTCAAAGGGCCTACACAAGAACGATTCAAGAGCAAAAAATTTTAATAAATGTCAACTTTTAAAATAAAACTGGAAAATTTTCTTTCGCATTAACTGTTCGTGAAAATACTTCAACACTATTTATTCTTAAATACAGTGATATAAATGTTATGAGACTCTTTTTTATTTTTGCACTTTTAGATCTTTTGATTCCATGTATCTGGGATTAAAAACAATGTTACGCAGTTTTTCTTACGGAACTTTTTGTGTCATGTTAATTTTTCACTACAAATATTTGTATAAAATAAACTCGGTAAAATGCTTAATAAGCATAAATGAAAAAAATAAAATATTTTTGCCGAACAAAATTTGGAAAATTGTGTTCTATTGTACAGCTAAATATTCTTTGATTGAAATCTCAAATTATCTCAATTGAATCTCAAATTATATATTTCTAATTTAGGAAACTCTGTTGACTTTCATTGTACAACAATTTTAATGGTTTGACCTTTTTTATTATTATTTTTTAATAAAATTTTGAAAACTTTGTCGTTTTGACATTTTAGTAGATAAAACTTGCACAAAAATATTATTTTTTACTTTTAAATGATGTCAAACCGATTTCAATTTGAAAGTTTTTGTTTTTCGAATTTTACTCAAGTACAGTCACAGAATAAAGTTTTAAGAAAGCATCAAGGAAACATTCATATAAAAAAAATATATAATTTAATCCCAAAAACTAGACTAAGTCTAATTTCATAATTTTACAGCACGTCGAATTTTTTTTTAAAAATCATCTACACTCAAAATTTTTTTATTGAATTCTATGTTTGTTATAATCAATCTCTTTGCGATTCTTTTAATTGTTATAAATGTGCAAAATAATTGTTATGACATAATACATGTACAACACTGAATTATCATTGTGTATTATTATTATTACATTATTTAGAAAGATATTAAAGTAATTTTATGAGTTTATTACTTTATATTTTCTAACTAGGAAATTTCTAATTTATATTTCTAACTAGAAAAAATATCAAAAAATTCTGAAAACAAATGTTAATTCCTCCCCCCCCCCCAAGATTACTTAAAGATTTACCCACTTAAAGATTTTTATTCTATAAAACTAATTTATTTAACTATGAAGCTGTGTAATTCTATACGGTTTTGAATTTGTTCTTAACGTAATTAAAATTTTTAATTAGAATTTTGCAAGTTCAAATTAAAAATGTTTCGTATAAATTTTATAAAAATATTTACTCGAAACAAATCAAAAAGATAAATTTGATTCGTAACAAAAGTTTACGAATTTAATGAACATGTCTTTATTCCATTAACTCACTATACTATGCCAATTTAACCCACATAGCCCAGTTGAAGAAGTTAGTAAAAATATTTTTTGTTAAATTAAACTTTCAATTTTAATCATTAGTTTTATCATTAAGAGTAGAGTTAGTCGCAGCATTAGTCGTATTTGGTGTAAGTATTATACAAGTAGAAAAAAAAGAGAAGAAAATCAAAAACCTTGGCAAAAGGTTCCACTATAGTAACTGAGTACAGTGCGCCAGAAAAACGGACCAGCCTGATAACTTTTCCTTTCATGATCGGATTTAGACGTTCTGGGACTCAATCTTAATGGTTTGAGGGAATGACCTCGAATATACTATTTACTGAGTGCTGACGATATCCTAAGTTACGAAATCAGACACAAAAACGTACTTTCTCTAAATAAGCATACATTTTTTCTCTCGATGCATTCGGATTTCTGACTCTCAAAATATAGGAGGCAGCCGCAATCTAGAGAATAGGGTCACAATAGCTTTGGTCAGGAAAAAGTTTGAACCCCATATGTTAATTTAATTTTTTGCGTATTTTGCTGTATCTCGAGAATTTTTTATGCTCATTGAAAAAAGTTTAAGCGCAATTATAAAAATCGTTTAACCAAAGATAATTTCGTGCCGAAATTGTTTTTTTAAACGTTAATATTTTATGTAATAACAATTTAAAATTTTTTGAATTGTAAGTTATACAAATGTTTACATCATTTTAAAGTATCTAATTTCACATGGCGAAATACAAAATTGGAGCGAAATCCGTCGATTAGCTCCCGAGAAATCTAATTCTAAAAAAGTCAATTTCTCAGGAACTATTCAACCGAAAATTTTGCATTGTGCCATATAAAATTTACATTCGTTAAAATGATGAAAAAATTTATACACCTTACAATTCTCAATTTATTTAAGATAAGTTAACTAAAATAATAAAACAAAATAATAACTGATTATTAAAAAATATTTTTTGCATGGAATTATCTTTGGATAAACGAATTTTATAATTGTGTGAAACAATTTTTCACTTCATTTAAAAAGTTTTGGAAAAGTGGTGAAATAAAAGTACGTTTTGTGTTTGATTTTGTAACTTAAGATATCGTCTGCATTAATAAATGAGCATATTTGAGGTCACCACCACGAACCATTATGATTCAGTCTTAGAACGTGAAGATCCAATCATTAGATCAAAAGATATTCAGGGTGATTCTTTTTCTTTCCCCTTCTTTTTGGCCCACTCTTCAGTATCCGGTATTACTTCTCGGTTTTTAAAAACACGAGAATTATAGGATAGACTTTTAAAATCACTCGTTCATTTTCTTACTCTGCCCGTGAATTTGTAAAATAATTTTCCCGTTTTTCATTTTTTACGCATTTTTTTTTTTAAATTTGCTGAAAACAGAGCGAATAATATATGGTATCAGGTTTTGAAAAAAAGTAGTTGAACAGTTACAGATTTTGGTATGGAAAAAATTGAAAATTCGGAAGAAAAAAATTGAAAATTCTGGTTTGAGATGCAAAAAAAAAAGTTTCGAATGACGAAAATCTTAACATTTTATTTCTTAAAATTTTAATTCGTGATATTGTACAAGAAATTGAAAATCTTTCAGGTGTCATTTCGTAAAGACAACGAGGAAATATTTTGACAATCGGAACTATTCGCATTTTACAACCCCAAAAGTTGGGTCTCAAATCCTTAGTTTTCAAATGTATTACACCATAATTGTGAACAGAGTAATTATTACCATTCAGAAGTATTAACCTTACGAGTACTTATATTTGCTAAAAAATGATACCCATTAGAATATGAAAGATATTTACTTCTTACTCATGACATCCGAAGGGCTTGGAGGAATATAATGTTAAGCCACATTTTCAAATATTCCAGGCTTACTTTAAGTACCACACGTGGTAATTTCGGAAACTTATAAAGGACCTATTTGGAAACTAACTGATGGTACAGTTTTATGTAGAGATGTCACCTTTTGACAGAGTATTGCTTAGTACTACATTGACTCTCTAACCTAACCCTTCATTTCCAAACTGATTTCTATGTGCGAGTGTCGGACTTTAAAATGTACAAAAAGCATTTCCTACCTTTACCAAATGCAATAAAATTGATAAAATTCTTGACACTGAGTAGTCTATGGGGTATGAGAGAAACTGGATCATTCATGGAAAAATGAATTCCAGCCGATCCAACATGATCTTGAAGATTTTCACCTACCGGCAAATCGGCTATGACAGGAATCTGAAAAGATACAATTATTTATTACTTTTTTTGAAACTTAATGAATGAGCTACTCGTACAGTGATGAGGCAGAAGTTTGAATCAAAATTGCTTTCAGTTTATCTATATTGTTCATATTTCATGTATGTATGTTTTTATATAATACATTATTTTAATCCAATTAGGAGACTTCACTCTCTACTTGCTCCACTCGACACTCCCCATAATTGCTTCTCAATCATCCATTTCCACAAAAACACATTTTATGTTCTAAATATACAATTATTGCAGCTTTATCTAAGACCATTTTGTTACTATGTCAATTGTAACGAAACAGGCAATTATCAAGATTTGAAAAATAATAATCTGTACTTGGAAAAAAAATAAAGGAAATAACCTAAGAAATGGAACAGCTAAGAAATACAGATTATGTGACTCAATAAGAAAAAATAAAAGAGTAGACATTTTACTCGTTGACTAGCTTATGACTATTCAATCAGGGAACAATATGTATCGCTCTTTATTAATCTTTTTATGTTTAAAAATTTCACTATAAATGTTAGAATCTGGCAGTATTTAATCTCTCTCTTTTCCTGTACTGTTACTTTTGATTGAAATTTACTCGAATAAAATAAAGAAATGAGGATCTCGTGAGGGAAAGATAAATTTTCTTCAACGATGGATAAATACTCAATATTTGAAGCACAAAAGCTGAAAAAATCTTGAAAAAGTATTTAAATTTTCTATTACTTTCGAATAAATTGGAGTTTCGAAGGAATTTATTCGCACATAAAAATGGATCTTTCAACATGTCAAACCGTAGTTGCATTTCAACAGGCTACAGATTGATCAAACATAGTATTTTTTCTTACGCATTTAACACTTCATAATTCTTGAACTCATTGTCGAATTTTTTTTTTTAATTCCCTCGTATCTTTTTCTACATACCCTAGTCATTTCAAGTTTCTAAGTGCTATAGATTTTGAGCAGCGATGCAAAAAAAGGGGGGTAAAATTTGCAACAAAGAACTTACAATTGTCATAATTTTCAAACTAATTTGAATTTTGGGGAAAAAAAATCTTTAAGTTCATAAACATGTATGACCTTTTTTGCATACCCATTTACAACTCAGTAATTGCAGTTTCTGCATACATATTTACAACTCAGTAATTGCAGTCCTGCGGCCTGTAAAGTTCTGGTATTTTTTACTACAGTTAATAACACTCTAACTAATTATCGAATGTTCACTTTTTTTTTATTCTTTGCATATTTTTCTACACATTTTCGTTATTTCAAGTTTCTAAGTCATATAGTTTTCTCTCGGCAAAAAAATCAAATGTAGCCTTCAGTTGAACACCCAAAATAACGACCCTTGCGTTTTTTCAATAAAGAGAAATACTCATTAAATCATTATTCAATTTAAAAATAAGTAAGTGATTTTTTTTCTGAACGTAGTCCGAAATGCGTGTTGAAGAACATGAATGTGGCTCATGCCATATCACTATATATTTTCTTAACTACGCAACTGAGCTCTGTTCATTTTTTTAAATACGCACTTTAAGCTGTGATCATTTTCCTAGACCTGTATTTTGAGCTATGGCTAAAATTGAAAGCTCACTGATGAATGGTTAAAATTTAGGAAAAAAAATATCAGTAAAATGACTCACTTTAAGAACTGTATAAGAGTTTATCTTTATTATTTGAAAAATGAAAGGTGTGATTTCATTATGTGTAGTGAAAAGATTCACTTAACGGAACAGTTAATGTTTGCTTCGCACAAAAAACCTGGAAGTGATACTCACGCCAAAAAGTGATTTATGGATGTTCTCTACGTGTGGATTTACTTATCTGGAAAAATTATTCTGTAATAGTGCAAAGAAAGCGTTTCCGTTAGGAATGTTTGTTTTTCTTCAAAAAAATCAAATTTTTCGTTTTTTGAAATATAGGAAAAGGGAAAATCCATTTAATTTTGAATAATTTGTGCATGAAATAATTAAAAATACCAGACAACTTAGCAGTGGTGACTCAGAGTACAGAGCGCTCGCCTCCTAATGAGGTATACCAGGTTCGAATCTCAGCTTTTGCTATTCGATATGAATTCTGCTCCCGACTGACACCGACCGCAGTGCTTACATAAAATACCCTCAGTGGTGGAAAGATAATGGGTTTCATTCCCCTTGCCGTTGGGCTATTAGTGGAAAATGTTCGTGGCTTCCCTCTCCCCGTAACGCCAATGCGGGTTGGTTCCATCAAAAAGTCCTCCACAAAAGCTAGGTTGTGCCAATGCTTCCAGGAGTTCCCCTATTTTCTGGATTGGGATCAAAATGACTAGGTTACGAAGTTGAACCATGATAGTCGTAAACTCTGAATTAGGTCGTCTGTTCAACGTTGGTTATAAAGTTAAATAAAATCTACTAACTTTAGGCGCAGTATTTCAAGCAGAAAAACCTTCGGTAAGTTATATACTATGTCGAGTGTAAAGGATGAGCAGATGATGCCTGTTGCAATGAAAAGAAGTATGTTCAAAGTTTTATTTGTGACGTTTTTTCTTTCCATTTGATCTATAAACTAATTTTTTCATTTTTTTTAATGTATACCCGGTTTAATCCGATCTGGTTCAATAAATCCGGGTCCTAGCATACTTCCAAAAATAATTTGGCCTCCAAAATACAGTCTTTTTCACATTAAATATTCTTTATTTTCGGAATGAAAAAGCTACTTATGATTCAAATAAAATTTTAAGTAATTATATTAGCATAGATATTTAGGGTATATGAGAAAACTAAAGGACTCAGCTTTATGAGCACCTTATTAAACTGGCATTCACTTGATGTTGTAGTGTGAGTACAAGCGCCGTATTTAGACGATATGCACGTGATGACCTGTGTGTATGAGCGCCGTATTTAGTCAAATTCATTTTAATAAAATTATAAAATGATGAGTAAAATTTAATTTCGTATATGCTTTAAAGTTTTATGATGGAATTAATTTGAAGATTTAAGAGGAGGGTCATCCCTCAATAAGAAATGGTTTTCTGCATTTCAGGCATTTATTACTTTTAAGCTGAAATATTTTTCTTCAATTTCATGCCAGAGGAAACAAAAAGATATCATTCATAAATAACTGAATATTTTTCTGAAATATTTTTCTTCAATTTCATGCCAGAGGGGACAAAGAGGTAACTAGAAAAAAAAATACTCACTCTGAATTTTTTTAATTGTTGTCGGGGTCCAATTCCGGAGAGCATCAAGAGCTGGGGAGAGTTCACTGCACCAGCTGATACAATAACTTCTTTACGAGCATAAACTTTGTAGAGTTTGCCAGCACGTTTGTAAATCACACCTTTTGCACGTTTAGACTTGTCTATTATGATCTACAAAACAGAATAGAATGAAGATGCAAAGGAGGATAGACTACGAAATTTTCACTTTTTTTTAATACAAAATTCCACAGTAGGCACTATTTAGTTCTTACTGTTCCTATTACCCTAAAAGTTCTATAAGTTAAAGCGTATTTATGTAAAAAAAAAAATTGCATTGAGGCGAAATTAGTTTTTGCAAAATTTAAATGGATTTTTCTCACAATTACGTTTTTTAAACTCGTAGACAAAATAACTCCTTTAATTTTCATTTCATTTATGCTTAAAAATTTAACCGCTTATTTATTTAGGGGATGTTCCTATTCACTTACTTGGTGTTACCTTCCAATCTATAATAGATCCATACAAAGCTTTTAATTATTATGCTTTCAAGCTCTGTCCTACTCATATCGAAAGAGTTTAGCATAAAGGGCAAGAGCAATTTTTACGATACTTACTTTAACGACAAAACTTTTGATGGCGATATCTAGGTTAGGCCTTTTTCCTGCCGACGATAAAAATGCTTTGGAAGTGCTGCAACGTGTTCCTCTTCTAATTGTTCCTTGAGGAATGGAAGCACCTACAGAGAGAATTTAAATTTGTCAATAACGACACAATTTTTCAAAAAAAAAGTATAAACATTTAGGATCGCAAATTAGTACTAAGGCGAGGAAGAAACAAACGTTCATTCGAAATCTGTCGAATCAACAGTAAAAGATAAAAACCAGTTTTATTTCTTTATGGAACTTGAAACAATTTTTAATGATTGAATGTGTTTCTATTTTTGAAAGGGATTCCAAAAGATATGTTACGCTGTTGGAATTTTCATTCTGAAATGACGGTAAAATGACAGGCAGCAGTCTGTCCATCCGATTAACCATTACGGTTAGGAAATATTTTTTTTTAGCTTTGCGGTTTTCAAACCGTTTACATAGGGTACGGTTAGGAAACCGTGAATACAAAACTGCGGTTTTGTAATCATTTACAACAAGCATAGTTTCTAAAATGAAACTTGAAGGGGCATTGCAGCTCTGTGGATTAGCCGTCTTTGTGTAAATGATAGTTTCGTATTCTTATAGTTTAGGATTCGTGTATTGAAGAGTGCAGGACACTGGAAACTGTTAATGCATTTACGGAATGAAAGAAATATTGTAGTATCAACGCTGGGAATCGAACCCCTGTTCAACCGGTCATGAGATGGACCGATTAGCTCTCTGACCCAGTTGCTTGGAACAAATTGGCTTCATAAGGTGGTCTTAGTTGGAGCGTATAAAATTCTGATTGCTTAACCGTATTAGGAAAAAACAATCCATTAAGTTTTTTCTCACACTTAGCAGTTTGAATATCCTCTTTTGTTATGGTTATTTAACTGTTTTGTTTGAATATGGTAAAATAACAATTAAATGAATTGTTATATAACCATTTTTACCGAGAAATTTCTAATAGTGCAAGCATGGTAATTTGAAAGTCCCAGTATAAGCTGGAATGTTGAATAAACATTAGACCTAATTCTGCTGCAATATGTTCTGTCTCGAATCAAATTGCGTAGTCCTATGCTAAGTCTAAGAAAAACATCTTCGAATTCTCATTGCGTAAGATAATCAACAGGTTGAAAAGGATCAAAAATTTTATGAGCGAGCGCAATAATTCTAGAGGCTATTTCGATGATATGGAAATGAAAAAGTAATCACTTCTATCGAACTAATATAGTGTCATAAATGAGATTACTTTTTACAGTTTTTTAACTCTTGAGAAATCTAAATGCTTCAAAAATATATTTTGATTTATTGCAAAAATCCTTTAGTTTAAAAACTGTTATTAAGCTAGTCGTTTCCAGGTACTATCTACAAGACCTGCACCCTTTTTTTGCACTAAATAATCAATTTCCTTTAACATATTATAAATAAATATCTTATTGAAGCACAGTAAAAGTGTAGAATGTTTGCAAACATTTTTTTTTACTAATGGTCCCCGTGACGTATCAAGCTATATTAAGAAACAGTTCTTTTTCAATAAAAAAAAAACATTTATTTCACAGCAATAAATACAGTAACGAAATTAAATTTTCCGTAACGGGTTAGTAATTAAATATAGAAAATGCCGTAACGGGTTAGAATAAACTTACAAAAAAACAGAAAATCCCGTTTGTATAAGACATCAAATCAAAAAAATATCTTTTTAAAAACTCTCTGATGTTCCATAAAATCTCGTGCTTTTAATTTATCTCTTCATGTGTTTATTTTATTTTATTCATGCTTTTGCTAGCCCGATAATTTTTAATATTCTTAGGCTTTATACCCCTCTATTGACACTCGTCATTCGGGTATGAGTAGGGCAGATTTTTTAGCCACTCTTTAAGGGGGCATTACATTAGGTGGGCTAATGTTGCTCTCACAGTAAAGACAGATAGTTAAGAGAATGATCCCTGCTTTGTCCAGGATTCAAACCCTGGACCTTTCTGATGTAAAGTAGGTCAGTTTCCTGACCACTATGCAGCCCGGTTGGTATGTTTGTAAACATAAATACATTTATTAGAATGTTTGTAAGCATAAATACATTTATTGCAAAATAAAATAGAAAAAGTGAAAGGATGGAAAATTAAATGACTCGCTGGAAGAAATGATTTACAAAAAATCTAGAAAAATAACTCTTAGAAACTAAATTTTAGTTGAAGCTGCTTTTGAATTTTTAATAACTATTATTTTCATCATACAATAAATGAGAAAACAATGCACAATAGATAATCAAAATAAGAAGGCATTAAGATATCTGTACGGATAATGCAAAATAATTCTAATCTAACTTCAGAGAAAAGGTTGCGGGAAAGTTTATGAAAACGCATTAAAAATAAATACTAGTTAAGTCGATGGATAAGTTTCTTTTTTGTTTTCTTACATTTTTTGATTTTTATTTAAACTTCAAAGATAAGTAAATAAAAATCAGTGTCTTAGGTTTGGAGTATTTACTGTTCCGCATGTCAAGGACCTTTTGTATAAGCCTTGGATATAATTTGAAAATACATACTATGAGCTTAATTAGATTTTTGATTCACAATTCAAGAATTTTAATTTTTCTTATAAGCTATTATATATTTTTCATTAAAAAATAATTCAATTACTGAAGTAATTGAATTATTGCATAGTGAAGTGAAAGTTTGAAAGAAGAAAAACGTTTGGATTCTGGTAGGTTTAAAAAAAAAAGAAAAAGGGTTGCATTGACAAACTTCAATAGAATCAAGAATTAAAGTAGGGAACAAATCTCCGAGCTGTATTTTGTGGGAAATTAATTGAAACTTTTTGCTTTTCGTCTGTGTTATTTTTTCTTACCGAAACATTATAAAATTCTCCATATAAACAAAATTGCTCAACAAAAAATGCGCAACACAGAAATATACAATGAAATAATTTATCCTTAAGTTTAACATTTATTTTTTATAAATGAAATTTAAAAATTGATATGGTAACTAAAAAAAAACTATTCGATTCGGTCTCGCACAATGCTGAAAATTTCGCAGAACGAAATTGTCATGTCGAATTGTATCTCCATTTTTAGTTGAAAAATAAAGATAATTTTGTTCTTGTAAAACAATGTACAGTGCGCAAGAAAAAAAAAGAGAAGAAAACCTAAGTAACTTTTGATCTATTGATCGGATCGTTTTAGGACCTTAATCTGAATGGTTCAAGGGGGTGAACTCAAATATGCCAATTAATGAGTGCAGACGATATTTTAAGTCATAAAATCAGTTGTTGTTGTTAATTTACGTCGCACTAGAGCTGCACAATGGGCTATTGGCGACGGTCTGGGAAACATCCCGGAGGATGATCCGAAGACATGCCATCACAATTTTGATCCTCTGCGGAAGGGATGGCACCCCCTCTTCGGTAGCCCGACGACCTGCGCATGAAGTCGAGCACTTTACTGTAGCACAGTTTAACGAGGACCAATACCGCACACCCTAGTGGTCACCCACCCACACACTGACCGTAGTCAGTGATGCTTGACTTCGGTGATCTCCTGGGAATCGTGTCTTAACGATCAGTCCACTGCGGGACGTCATAAAATCAGAGTTCTTTGTCTCAATATATATACCTTTTCATTCGATGGATTCCGATTTCGGACCCCCAATATATAGGGGGTAGCCGCAATCTGTGAAATATGAACCCCATACTTTGGTCTGGAGAGCGATCCAAAGTTTGGACCCCTTAATGTGAATTTCACTTTTTGCCACCATTTCTCGAGAACTTTAAGCGAATTGAAAATTTTTTGCTGACAATTATAAAATTCGCTTATTCTCAACTCCAATCAATATAATAAATCTAACCAATAATAAAGATAATTCAATACAAAAAAATACATTTCAGTAAATATTTATTTTTTATTATTTTATTTAAGAATAGTCCGAAAACTTTTGAATTGTAATGAATAAAATTTTTTACATTATTTTAAAGTATGTAAATTTGCAAGGTAAAATACAAAATTTGTGCGAAATTGGTTGAATAGCAATCGATAGTTCCTGGGAATCAATTTCTGTAAAATTGATTTCCCAGGAACTATTTGATCGATTGCACTCAAATTTTGCATTTTGCCGAGCAAATTTACTTATTTCAAAATCCTATAAAAAATTGTATATCCTACAATTGAAAATTTTTTCCCACAATTATTTAATAAAAAATAATAAAAACTTACTAAAATTTATATTTACTGCAAATTTTAGTAAGCATTTATTATTTTTTGCATGTAATTATCTTTGGATAACCAAATTTTATAATTGTGGGCAAAATTTTTTCAGTTTGCTTGAAAAGTTCCTGAAATATGGCGCAAAAAGCAAAACTAACATTAAGGTGTGGATCGCTCTCCTGACCAAACTATGGGAATCCTATTTCCTAGATTGCTGCTACCCCTATATATTTTGATGGTCAGAAATCCAAATCCGTCAAAAAAAGTATGTTTTTTTTTTCCAGAAAAAGTAAGTTTAATGTATGATTTCATAATTTAGAATATCGTCTGCACTCATTCATTAGCATACTTGAGGTCACTCCCTTAAATCATTGAGCCATAGAACTTGAAGATCCGATCATTATATTAAAAGTAATTCAGGGTGGTCCGTTTTTTTCTCGCTCTCTCTATATAAATCTGTCACATGTATTCAATAACTTTATAATCAATTTCGATCCGCTTTGGTTTCGTAATTCATATTAATATTATTTTTGTGCTATGTGTTTGATTGATTAAACAAACTCATTTTATTTTAAGTTTTTTTTTAAAAAAAATTGCGTCCTTCTCCTGCTCTTTCGAACATGACAGTCCATCAATACAATAAAGTGGAGAGCGTCTTAAAATACTGCAAAGCATCCTTGAAGGTTCCATATTAAGAAATTTAGAGTACCTAAAAGAATGATTCTTGTTTTATATCGGAAAAATAAATTTTACTGACTCTTATGTATACCCTAGCTTATTGAAATGAGATATTTTAGTGTTACTGAATCGCAAAAATAGAGGTGGGGATACTTTACTGTAAAAGAACATTCTTGGTGTTATGAAACACCTAGATCCACAGGTTACGCAAGACGTTGCACTACACCACTTTGGTGGAAAGTACACTGAAACAAAATCTGCTACAGAAAAAAAAAACTGTCTGCTGGTGTGCCAGTATAAAACAGTTTATTTTACGAAAAAAATCTGTTGTTTAACGTTGAACGTCTGTAGAGAAGTACTGTTATTAAAAATTTTTTTCAAATTTTAACAAAAAATTGCTCTATAAAATAACCATCTGAGCTTTGTGGACTAATAATATCATAGAGTACTAATAATATGAGTAGACTGCTCTCGCGATGGTAAAATCACACTCACTTTGAAACCCTTTCTGATTGAGCCACTCAGCACGTGACGAAAATGGAGGAATGAATGGTAAGCAATGTAGGCTACTTATTCCTATATTTGGCGATGTCATATTTTCTCGATATTATGAAATGCATTTTGAGAAGGCACCTTTCATTAAGAGTTTTTTTCATAGCGGCGAAATTTAAGACAAACGTTGTCTTAAATGACGAAATTACTTATCTTTTAAAATAAAAAATGAAATAAATATTTACAACATCCCTTTTTAAGCTTTCATTCGCATCACTTGCATTTAACAAGTTGGGCCAAAGTTTAGGATATTTTGAGAAAAATTTAATAACTTCCAATAAACATTACATAACTTAAAAATTAAATAACATTTATAGTAATAATTTTTTTTAAAATTTTCAACTAAGAATAATAAGGTATGTTTTTGGCATATGAGATAATCATAATCAAAACAAAAAAATCCCTTAAACTTTATTGTTGTGAACCAAAAAGTACTACTAAGTTTTATATAGTTCATTATAAGACTTTGGTATCGACTTACAACATAACAAACGACTGAAAAAAAGTCTTTTTTTTTAAATAGAAAAACAAAACAAAATGTTTCTCGCCTCTTCTCTTTCACGCGGCATCAAAGTCAACAATCACACCCGTTCTTAAAAAATCATCAAACAGGAGATCGTGTTTGAAACGCTTTGATTGAAAAAAGTTTTGATTGGAAATTCATGAACCGGTGAACGAGTCTCCTGATAAGGCTGCTGGTTTCTGCATGTAATGCATGGTGAGCAGTCTATCTATATTATAAGTCTATGGTTGGTACGAGAGGAGAGTAGTACCAGCCAATAACGGGATTCAAACCCGGACCATCTCAGTAAGAGACGAGAACTCTGTCCACTTAACCACAGCAGTAGTGGTGTTTCGATATGAAGAAAAATCTTAAACTGTCTTTATCTTAAAAGTCTTATTAAAATCATATTTAAGTGTAAAAATGTTTAAAACTATATTGGCCCATCCTTATAAAATGCTCGGCAATTAAACTTTGCGAAAAATATCTGAAGACAGGTAATAATCACTTAGAGTATCCATTCTAGAGTGAAGCCAGTTTATACGATGTTCAAAACCATAAAACAATTTCTGAAAAATAGGAGCAAGTGTAAAGAAAATAATCGTAAAATGATTTAAAAAAAAAAAAAAAAAAAAAAAAAAAAAAANAAAAAAAAAAAAAAAAAAAAAAAAAAAAAAAAAAAAAAAAAAAAAAAAAAACAAGATAAAGTTATTTTACAGTAAGCAACACTGCATGGCAAAAAGTAGAATTTGAATTAACAGTTTTAATCCGTTTATGATCAGGGTGAAAAAGAAAAAAAAAACTGTTTTGTAAAAACAGCTTTGAACCATTAAATATACAGAAAAAGTCTGAAAATAAAAATAATTAAAAAAAAAAGGAAATCTGTATTTATATTTGAAAGGTCTTTTTTGCAAAAATCATTATTATGACATTATAAATGTACCTGAATGTTCAATATCAGTTTAAAGCTAACGATATGTAACTACGTATTACATTGGTGCAAAATATCGAATCTCCAGATTTTAATTTTCGAACTATTTATTCAGTTATAAGAATTAAAAAAAATCGAAATGTAATTTTAAAATTAAAATGGTGGTGTACCTGTTTGATAGGGTCCATTGAGATCTCTGTTTGGGTATCCTAAATATAGAGCTGATTGTTCGAAAGCATAACCCAAAGGAGTAACATGGGGTGGAGTAGATACGGTTAAGTGACCACCAATTCCATGGTAACCTAAAAAATAAATAATTAAATCACTCATCACATGCTGCAATAACAATAAAAGGCTTTTTTCATTTTCAGTTCATATTCATACCTTCAAAAATAGCTGCTTTCTTGATTGTTTTTTTCCTCTTTTGTGAAAAATGTATAGAAGTAGCATATTTTTTTGTACATTATATGTCCCTTTTTCGAGTGTATTGCACAGTTTTTTTTATTCAATAAATAATCTTTATGAAGGATACTAGTTATCGTATGGTTTTTCAGAAGCTAACTACAATTTATGTTCGTGCATGAGTGTAGGGTCCACATATTTTAAAATTTCTTCAAACATTTGTAATCGAGTAAGGATGCAAAAATGGTTTGAGGAAAGCTTAATTTAACTCATAAATTTATCAGAATATGTGAAAATTGATAAATTTAAAAACTTTTAACCCTTTGCTGTCGAAAATAATTTTTGTTTTAAGAGCATAATATACATGATAATAAAGAAGCAATTAGTAAATTAATTAGTAAAATATTATTAGAAAACTATTTGCATTTTACTAATTATTTGTGTCCAAAACCTGTCAATTTGAGGGAACAGTAGTGTTCATGATAAGTATCATTCTTTCTTGTGGTGACTGAGAGTAGACTTAAGACTAGAACGGATAAAAGCTCTTTGGTGGCTGACAGTATTAGTTATTCGACTGGAATGGTAAAATCTTTGATGGCTGAGAATAGTCATACGACACGAACGGTAATATCTATGGTGGCTTAGAATAGTTATACGACTGAAACGGTGAAATCTTTGGTGGCTAAGAGTAGTCATACGACCGGAACGGTAGAATTTTCGGTGGCTGAGAGTAGTCATATGACTGGAACGGTAGAATCTTGTCGCTGACAACAGACATACGACCCCAAAGAGTTAATATTTGTGCCATAAAAATCAGTTTAGAAATAAAAAAAGATATACTGATTTTTATAATCACACAAATAAATTTTTTTTAAAAATTTTAAAAAAGGTTTTGAGTTTTTAACTGTTTTCTTATGTATGTCTGAAAAGTTTCCATGAGTGGCACATTGATGGCATCACATAATATGATATGGATTTCGTTAATAAAAGTTTTACCCGAAGGGATACTGTTTTGATAAAATATAACGCTTTTGTGGTATTACAGATCTATGTATTGTCTCGAAGCATTTCTAAACCACTGCTGATTGCATAACAGAATTTCCATCATGCCATTTTCATTTTCAATCAGACTATTAAAATTTAAAATATGAAGAATGTATCCTAACCACTGTAAGCAGTTTCCGGATTTCGATTGTCTTCCGATTTGAGAAAATAGGGAAATACTTCGTTCCAACTCCATCCATATGCTCCATAATTTGCCCACTGGTCATAATCCCTCTTGTTCCCTCGAATGTACAGCATATAGTTTAGAACACTGGAACCTCCAAGTACTTTGCCTCGAGGCCAAGGCATGCGCTAAAAGGAAAGAAATTAATTTAACATACATAAATATTTATCGTAACAGATAGAAAACAATATATAATGTACAAAAAAAGAAATGTTAAAAAGGGAAAAAAAACAACCGTTTTTGTACTATCATCATCTTGACAGGACTTGTCTGGTTTTGCCTCTTCTCTTTAATAATTCTCATGTTAATTTTTTGTAATTCTATCAATTCGATAATACTATTCTATTCCTATTCTATTATAATATTTTGTGTCTCAGATTAACACTAGAAAGATTGAAATATCTATATTGCCCAAAAGCAGTCAAAACGACTGCATTGTGAAGGAATTACTAATGTAAAAACAAAGTTGTTTAAAATTAATTTTCAATATTTTTAATATTACTTTCAGTTATATAACAAGTTATTAGTAAATATCAACAACAAAAATAATTATAAAAGTCACAAAATTGGAAGAAATTGTGTCATTATATACATCATTGTTTTTCTAATTGAAATTAAAAAGCCGTCAAAATGACTTCCTTGGGCAATTTAGTGTTAATGATGGTACTTGTTACTCAGGTAATGATGGTATTGTTATATTCTGTGTCTCAGATTAATGATGGTACTGGTTTATAGTATCTAAAAGATTTACTGTCTTTAACTTTTTTATTCACTCGTATATTTTTTTCCCACTTTACATTATTCCCGAAAAATAACAAAATTTTCTCTTGAACTAGTTTACTGTTAAATAAAACTTTAAAAAATCAAATCTTATATACTAGATGCACCTTTATAATGTGAACTAATAGGGACCTAAGACCGAAAATTCGAAAAATTCAAAATTCCAATATCAACAGACAGAAAGAATGTTTTCAGAAAGCATCGTTTTTACGTTCGATATAGAACAAAAAAGGAATATTTGAAATTTTAAATAATTTGCGTGAAAAGGTTTCGAAATTTATGACCGATTCATTCTCTTCTACACAAAATGTATGAGACATAGCGAACGATCTCATTTTCAATGCATTACTATCCGTACCCACGTGATTTTGTCGTCTTTGCTATATTGTGAGATTTAGTAGAACGATTTACAAATTACAAATTCTTTATCACAATTGCCCTAGTTATTTTGACATTGTATTGCGATTCATTCTTAGGTGATTTATGGATTATGACAATGAGTCATTATCTTTTTCCACGATATCTTTCTCGCGACTCAAATACAATTGCTAGTTCCGGATTATCCTGGTTAGCGAGGCTCTACAATGTTTGCATCCCAACAATCAAAACTTTGTACCTGTTACGAGATATCGAATAATGTCCAGTGTCAGCACAATTAATTGCTGTTCCTAATGACACTCGGACAAGCTCAATGCTCATCCGCCCTGCGAATAAATCCGGAAGGAGTGCCTTCTATTGGACAAGAAAGCAGCACTGGGGTGAAAGTACGACTTTAGCTCAGAACTTTCCGGATAGATGGCAGTACCATTCATTCGAGAGATCTCGTCCCCTAACTTAGACATAAATTTGAACCAGATCCCTATACTGATGATACTGCTCAGTGATTGACCACAGGACTCTCGATTCCGCAGATTTTGCGAGCACATATATCGCATGTACTCGGTGGATCTTAGCAGCTTTCAAAGATCGAACACCGGCCCCTCTAGATCGAAGTCCAAGATTTTAACTACTGAGCCTACACAATTTATAATATTAATATGTTACTTGCATTGCCAACTAGTCCAAAGCAGGAGTATTTCTGTGGAGTGGTGTGATATTTCCAGTCATTTCTTGTCATTTGTAATTGAGCAGCAAGGATTGGCACTTCACTCTTAAGTTTTGGTATTCCACCAGCTTCTAATAACAGAACACTGATGTGTGGATCTTCAGAGAGTCTGTTAGCTACAACCGCGCCAGCCGATCCACCTCCAACTGCAAAGGAAGACATCTATGAGTTATTTAGAAGCCATATTGGTCGGAAGTAATTTTAGTTGGAAGAACATAATACACATGACAATAAAGAAGCAAATTTCTTTTTATAAAGAGAACTTAATTAGTAAAACAGTATTTGAATTTCATTTGTATCCAAAACCTATCAATTTGAGGGAACAGTATTGCTCGTGATAAGTATCATAAGACTAGAAAGTAAAGTTGATGACAGTATTAGTCATTCAACTGGAATGGTAAAATCTTTGGTGGCTGAGGATAATCATACAACAGGAATGGTAATATTTATGGTGGCTGAGAATAGTCATACGACTGAAACGGTAAAATCTGTGGTGGTTGAGAGTAATCATCCGACTGGAGCGGTAAAATCCTTGGTTCTTTGGGGGCTAAGAGTAGTACCTCATGAAATCCGAGTGCTAAAGAATGTCAGAATTTTCGAGTTTTACTTAGAAATGTGTATCTTAAGAAAGTAATCTCATAAATTCAATAAAATATTATTTTTTCAAAATATTTTAATCAATTAAACTTAATTAGTATTTTTTTAGTCATTTTAATTATTGCATAAAAATAAGTTTCAATTTTTAGTATTTTTTTGCAAAATGTAGGATATTCTTCTGATGTATTTTTTCACATTTGAGCAATGAAGCTAAGTCCTTAAAAATTCTATAAATGGTAGCAAGACTCATAAGATGTATTTATTATGGTAGTAATTAACTCACAATTTCAAAAAAACTTAGGTAAATCGTTGACGCTTTTCCCCAAACTGTACAAACGCCGAAATGAAGTTTTTACTGTTATCGCCAAGAATTGGCTTAAGCATAATCAGAAAATGCATAAACAGAAAATCGTAATTTGAAAATTGCAAATGGTTGAACATATCGTGAAAAAAAAACATATATATAAAAAAAGCAATAGCATGCCTTGCCGACTCTCGTCTTATTACACCTACAGATTCATACTTTATCCCCTCCCAAGCATCGCCAATGTCGTCGCATCTACTGTGTAATGGTATACTAGGATTAGGCCAAAATATAGAGGAGAATTCTCAGGCTTTGAATAGTTTATTTTAAAGTTAAAGCTAATAAAAAGATATTTAAACCTCGATCATTATAACAGTGACATCACTTAGTTCACTTTTCCTTTAAATAAGATAATATTTTCCCGATATATTATGTCCCTTACATTTTCGTTAGTTATGATAGTTAAGGGAAATCATTGTATATTTTGCCGTAACTTCATCGCCACTTTTAAACATAAAAAAAAATCATTGCCCTCATTTATCATTGTTTTGGGTTATATAACATTCGAAAGACTAATAATTATATATTTTTTAAAAAAAAAACTTCTGTTTAAGTTTACTACCACTGGAAAAAAAACTTTCACACAATCCTCAAATGTTAGAGGGTATTCCTTTCTGATTTAGTGAGTTGAATTTTGGGAATTTTGGGTATTGTATATAGCTTCAGTGCTATTTCTTAAAAATTCATTTCACGACTGGATAGAAAACGTCTTATAGGAGAATGAACACGTTTTTCTTATAAACGATATTTATTTCATAACTGGGAAACATAGAAAAATAAGTTCCATTCATTTTATGTGAATCAATCGTTTTTGAGTGTAACTTTATCTAAGGACAAGCATGTGGTTTTTTCATAAATTTATTTTTCCTTTAATCTCATCCGATCTTAAATATATTCTATCAGGATGTGTTTTCCTCACAAAAGCTTGTTGAGTTTCTACTTATTCAACGAGCAAAAAATGTTTTAAATTAATTCTTAGGAAATAGTCACGCCTATGAACTGAATTGCGTGAGCTATTTGAGAATGGTAGGTTTTATTTATTTTATTTTGCGATGAGATGGCGTGTGCTGATACACATAAATGTATCGCTAGATATCGACATTTAAATAACAGAGGGTGAATTAGATTGTTTCTTACAAAAGTTATTGTTTACAAGAGTCCGGGAGTTTACCAAAAATTTAATTTAATCAAGATATATTTTTATGTTATTTAGGTTGGTAACTTAACTCTGAAGGATATGAGGAATTAAATAAGATCACGACAGAAAAGTAACAGTTGAGAATCTTTGTTGTAAATATTAATGTAAAGGAGTCGTGATGTTAAAATTCTTAATCCCTTATAATAGAAGAATGTTACAAAAGTTGTAACTTAATTTTAATGGTCCTACATACATAAATCAGTCTCATACAGTGCACATTCATTTTTCGAATAGGAAAGTGAGCAATGAAGGCTCCAAAAGGGTTGGCTTGGATTTAAAAAATTCAAGGGATAGGGCTCATATAAGAAGCCATATTTTCTAATTATTTAGCTAAGCGCTTGAACTTGAAAACATTCAACTATCACTATGTAATAAAAATTAAGCTTTTAGTTACTGCACTCTGCATTTAATGAAAATAAGAAAAAAACGTAGTAAAGCGTCTATCTGAAAGGAAACAATACAAAGGAACAGTTTTGTAAAAAAAAAAACACTGTTTCCTTTGATAAAAATGTTGTTCATATATAACTCCAAGACGTGCAATTGCAAAATATATCGAAATCACAATTGACTAGATGTTTGCTTATAAAAGTTCTTTTTGTCGTCAAAAAATCTCAATCTTCGAACCCCTGACGAATGTTCATCCTGTTCACGAATCTAATGAGACATGCATTAAAACTCGTGATTCTCACATGGGTGTTAGAAACAAGGCATGAAACATATGTGCTTCAGGTTTGTAAGCGTTTAAGTATTAAAAAGAAATTATGTACACATTTTTTTATGACTCAATGTTTACAACTCTAAAGCACGTCTTACCATTAATGAATGTATTCATTCGTTTGACTGCTTATTAAAAACTTTTTTGTTGTTGTTGTTAAAAACAACATCACTTGGGGCTCATGAACTTTAGGTTTCATTAAAATTAATTTTCAAAGTTTATCACAAAAATTCGTGTAAATTGAGTCTAGATGCAGGTTTACGCATGCAAAAAGGTCAAATGCAAATCTAAGGAAGAAAGGCGGAAATCGGCCGCAGGTGGTACTTAGGTTAATTGCGAGGGAGATCTTTCAATAAATTTCACAGTTCCGCTTTTGCGATCAACGATAAGTGAGTCTATCAGAAGGGGGTAAGACAAAAAGAGCATTTTCTCACTTACAGAAAACTAACATACGATTCGATTTAGTGACATGATAGCAAAAGAAAAGAGCTTATGGGTCGAATGTCACCAGGCTTTCTATCTAGGGCGTGTCACTGCCATTGATGCAGGGGAGGTATACCGTGACCGCTCTCATCATTTCAATACTGATTACGTTGAGGAATATATGGCTAAGAATGGTAAATGGAAACGATTTTAAGAAGTGTTTGCGATTTGCAAAAGCAATTAAAGCTGCTTTTGTAATTTGTTATTAAACACCTCGAGACATGAAAAAGCGTGGCTTGTAACAAAAGAAAAAAAAAGTTTTTTTTCTTCAAATGGACGCAACTATTCCGAAAGATTTATTTGGAAACAAGGAATAAACTACACTGTTACTTATTGAAATAGATAGGGCGTTTAAAAAAGACCTGGAGAAAAGGAAACAAGTAGAGTTAGCGTAGATAAATCTTTTTTTCCAATAGGGAAGAGGATCGCAGTTATAAATGATATCGGTTAGTGTTGGTCCTGGATCAAGAATTAGGGGTAATTTGCCTTCGTGGAGGACTTTTTGATGGAACTTACCCGTATTTGTGTTACATGGGGAGGAAAAACACGAAAACCTCCACGGTAAACCTGACGACATAGGGACACTAACCCATGATCCGTCTAGTACTGAGGATATTTTACATTAGCGCTGTGGTCGAAATAGCTACTACCGAAATAAAGTAATTTACTAAAAGAGCAAAATGAATGGAGAAATGGCACTAATAATTCATACCGGAGAAAAATAAAACATCGTCTTACTATTATTGACCCTAGTGATGCTTAACTCATATTGATAACAGGTTTTAATTGAAATGAAACAAAATAAGCTATGTATTAAAAAGTAAAATTTAACGAAGAATTGGTACTCATTCATTTAGGAGAAACTTAAAAAAAATCGCTGTAGTATTATAGATGCTTCATGAGATGCTTGGTAATAGGAAATATTGATATTAGTCCAGTAATGAGTCCAGTTTTAATAATTACAAAATATACTATTATAGGTACAAAATGCGGTAGCAGAATCTATGACATTATCTTCATCAGGGCAAATTTGTCTGTGACCTGAGCGTAGTTAGACTGAGGTTTATTATTGTAAGAATTCAGGTTCATCCAACAAACTTGAAGCAAAATTTGCAAGTTAACATGGTACTTATGCATGAAAATTAATGTTGTGTAAGTCGCAGTTTATTCAATGACACTAGAAATGAAAAAAAAAAATTCCCTATACAGTCAAGCCTGTCATCAAGTAACAAAAAAAAAAAGAAGAAAAAAAAAAAAAATAGCTCTTGAATTAATATTAGAAACATGTTTAGTAACACCCCCCTCCCCCTTATGTTCGTTTGCTTTTAAGAGCAAAAAGAAAACTTTACTGAAAAATAATTTACACACGTTGTAGTCATCTGCAGTGCCCGTTTCTGCGTTGGAGGTTTTCTGCTGCCGGAGTACAAAGTTTTATATTAACATATTGGGTTCCTATTAAAACTACACCAATAATATGCAGTTTCAAAACATACTGTTAAATGTAGTTTTCTACGGTCCCTACTAAACGGATAAAAACAAAAGAAAATCTCTTGATTGTGTTGAATTTCGACAATCACGAGTTGTCCTCAATCAAGAGCATTAGATCAAATTGTACTGAATACAGTCAATCTTTATACAGTTAGGAAAAGATTATAAAAGAATCATTGTCAACGAACCCAATAATTTGCACAAGACCGTAGACTGTGTTCCGCGCAGTATAAATGATTCATTTACTATTCGTGCAAATGTGAAAAAAAGCCTAGCTTTCAAATCATATTTCAAATCATGT